TTTACTCTAAAACACCAAATTTATGACACTTTAGGGTTTTTGGATTTCTCGCTTATGCCACAAACACTATACCCCATAAGGACAAGTTTGATCCACGAGCCTTCAAAACAGTGTTTATCGGATATCCTCCTGGCCAAAAGGCCTATAAACTCTATGACCTTTAGTCCAAAAAGGTCATCGTGGTTTTTCATGAAACCATTTTCCCTTCAAAGTTTACTTGTTCAGTTCAACTTGATTCTCCTTTACTCTTGATAGATCAATCTATACTACCAATAGTGCTAAATGATATTTTTCTTTCTTCACCACAGTCTCCTCCCATATCATCTGTCCCGCTTACATCTTCTTATTCTGCTCAGCCTCACTCTATATCATCAGATCCTGTTATTTTGTCTAACACAACAGTCTCAGATAATGATCACCTTACTACTCAACGGCCTCTTTGTGCTGCTCTTTTTCAACCTCGTAGGAGCACTAGAACTAAACTCACACCAAAATGGATGAATGATTGTGTGACAGCTTATGTACCTTTGAGTTAAGATAGTTCTCAACCACAGCACATTAATGTTGTTTCATCTTATTCCCCTATTACTCATTCATCTTTTTCAGTACGTTCTTTTTCAAATGCACACTTGTTGTTTTTAGCACGAATAGACAAAATACAGGAACCCAGATCATACTATCAGGCTCATACAGATCCTAGGTGGATTAAAGCAATGCAGGCCGAGTTGGATGCCGTAGAAGCGAATCATACTTGGGTTCTCACTACTTTGCCTGCTGGGAAGAAACCCATCGGTTGTAAATGGGTCCACAAAGTAAAGTACTTGTCTGATGGTTCCGTTGATTGCTTCAAAGCCCGATTGATTGCAAAAGGCTACAATCAAGTCAAAGGCGAAGACTTTTATGAGAGTTTCTCTCCTTTCGCCAAAACAGTCACTGTCCGGCTGTTGCTGGCCATTGCAGCTGAATCAAACTGGTTTATCCACCAACTTGACGTCAACAACGACTTTCTACATGGCTCTCTTGAAAAAGAGGTTTATATGGTTCCTCCCGAAGGCTACACTGCTGCACAGTCAGGTCAAGTATTTCGTTTGACACGTTCTTTATACGGTTTGAAGCAAGCTTCCCGTCAATGGAATGCGGAGTTTACCAAGCAGTTTCAGTTATGTGGTTTTACTCAGTCACAACATGACCCTTGTCTGTTTATTAAGTCTCGCATGGGAGGTATTATAGCATTGGTTGTGTATGTAGATGATATCCTGATTGCTGGTTCCACTGAAGCCGACATTCAAGTTGTTAAGATTTTTCTTCATCAACAGTTCACCATAAAAGATTTGGGGCCTGCGAAATATTTCTTAGGGATTGAGCTGGCCAGATCACCAGATGGATTGTATCCCAATCAATGAAAATATGTGATGGACATCCTCACCAATGCCGGCATGACAGGTTGTCGTTCTGCAATTACTCCACTTCCCAAAGGTCACTAGTTTTCAGACAAACTTGGTGACCCCATTGAAGATCCATCCCAGTATCGACGCATTGTAGGTCAGCTTCTTTATTTGAGCTTTACCAGACCAGACCTTACTTATGCCGTCCAACAACTGAGTAAGCATGTCTCTAATCCTTGTGCTGATCATTGGCAATCATTGTTACATGTTCTTCGATATTTACAAGGAACCCCTGCACATGGTATCTTCTATTCTTCTCATTCTGATTTTAAGCTAGAAGCTTTCAGTGATGCTGATTGGAGTTCGAATCCAGTTCACCGGAAATCAGTCACTGGTTATTGCGTTTTTCTAGGCTCTTCTCCTATTTCTTGGAAAAGAAAACAACAGCATATTGTTTTTTGCTCCTCAGCTGAAGCTGAGTATCGAGCTTTAAGTACCACCACTCGTGGGCTGCTTTGGATATCGTATTTGTTTCATGATTTTAAGTTGCCTGTTTCTCTGCCTATTTCCCTCTGGTGTGATAACAAGTCAGCTGTCTAGATTACGGAGAATCCAGTTTTTCACGAGAGGACGAAGCACTAAGAAGTGGACTGTCATCTTGTGCGTCATCATTATCTCCAACGGTTCCTCGTTCCCCTCAGTGTAAATTCCCAGAATCAGTTGGCAGATCCCTTTACCAAGTCCCTTGCTGCTCCATTGTTCTACCCTTTCTTGCTCAAGCTTGGCATGAACAATCTTCATGGCTCAGCTTGTTGGGGGGAGAGGGGGAGAGGATGAAAGACTTATTGATGATCCAGGTTGATTTAAAGGGTCATTAGTGTAAATATTGTAAATCATAGTACTAGTTGTACATTTTAGATAGTACATAGTTAGTTTAGTCAACTGGTATATATATAGGAAGGAAAGTCTTTTCTTTGTATAGAATTCAGACAAATTTAATATACACAAAATTCACAGAAACAAGATCGGGTTCTTCACTAGTTCTTCAAGTTTTGCTTCGTGTTACTTTCAATTACATCAGCCAATGCTGATACCTCAACAATTGTTGAAACTTATATGAACTTTCATGCAACTGTATTCATGTTTAGATATGTACATCATATTCCATCTGATCAAAGCGCTATTTGAAATTAAAAATGTGCCCTAAAAATAAAACTAAAAGAAAGCCCCCCAACCCCCACATGCACACATACGCAAAAGGTGATTTCCCACAGTAAGATCCGATTAGAGACCAGAAAAAGAGAAGGCTCAAAGGCTCCATTACCCAAGACTCCAGAGTATTCTATCCTTACTCTTGACAAATTTAACATTCACATAACTTCATGACTTCTTTAATTGATTTTCATTTCAATATGAAACCCTTCACAATGTATCATATCCTAAGTGTTGTATGGAACTTCTTCTGTGATAATTTTATGCTTCTTCAGTCTTACAAAAATAATTTACACTATATATTGGAAATCATATATTTTTAGTACAATTTACAATTCATAACATGATTTTTTTTTGTGGGGGATGGAAAAAGTATTATGTTGGATGTGACATTAGTGAAAAAAAAATTGATTCTTGTCATAATATTTAAATACTAACATCCTAACTAGACGTTAAGTGAACATAGTTGAATAAATGAATTAGACATATGCAAATGCAAATTATTTAATAATTTCACACAAAATGTAACATAAAAGTATCAAAACATTTTTTCGCTAGGCATTGCTTGAATAAACTACTATATTTAATCAGATGAGTGATTAATCAAATTACTTAATGAGAGGCACAAGAAAATAGAAAACACAAGAAAGACTTTTGTCATGTCCATGTATCAATACCTATTCTGTCATGGTCTGAGCTACTTGATTGGATGTTGGTTCATTTTGGAAAAAGTAATGTTATTGATGGGATCATTTGAAGTACTTTCTCTGCGGCTGTTTATTTCATATAGGATGCCAGGAATAAACTTTTGTTCAGGGATGAGACCCCCAAAGTCTTCGAGCTCTCTCAGAAGCTCAATTTTGCCTTAAAGATGAATTTGGTTAAGATTAAGAAGATAAAGAATACATGAATGAACAAGCTATGGGCACAAGTGATGAATATCAACCCGACATTCTCTTCTTAAGATGACCTTGGTCAATAATGTCTAGAATTAGTTTTTGTATAATCTACCATGATGTTCATGTTACTTTTGTTGCTAATTATTTTGTATCTCTCCACTGGGAACTTGGTTTCCTCTAAGGAGTTTGATCTTTGTAAAGTGTATCGTTAATACCATTATTCAAACTGGAATGAAAACAACCTTCATTCAAAAAAAAAATAAAAAAATAGAGAAACTTTCCTATTAATATTTGGTCCATATATAGTGAAAAATGTATTGGATCACTGTAACTCGTGAAACTTCTGCATGGGCTAAATCCAAACAATTCGTTGACCTTTGGCCCAAAAATTAGCAAAAGTATGTTCTTGTTTTTTGTTTTTTTTTGGATGTCTATTTTAAATTCTTGTTTTACTCAAAATAATTTAATAATAAATAATAATAATCCTCGGTTACGTGTAAAGTATGATAAACTTTTTTCACAACTCACAAAGTGCAAAGCTTAGGGCAAGGGTGCCTCATAATACATTCTATAACGCTACTTATTATATGTGTCTTATGAAATCGGGTTTTTATCTGGATTTAGATGATGATATAGACATGACTTGAATTAAATGCCAATATGAAAGGATGCACAAGTTTTGTAAATTATGTGGTGTTAGAGCGTCTTCAACCATTCCACTATAATTTACATTAAGTTTAGTGTAAAAATAGAATATTCCAAAAATCTTTTTACACCAAAATCCTTTACTCTCCAACCTTGATGCACCAAATAGTTTAAATAGTTAATATTTTAGGTTAAATTTTATTTTTTTGGTTAATTAAAATCTTGTAATTTGGTGATAATTTTGTGAAATCCGTTTCTTATAATCGCTTTTTATTTGATTGTAGTGGTATCATTTTTTTAAAAAATTTTTGTTTCATATTCAATTTCAATAATAACTAAAAATAATTTTTTTAAAAATAAATTTTATATTTAATATAGGTCTTATTTTGAAGATCTCAACAAAATATATAATATGATATAATTTTCATAACATAATTCGTTTAACAAGTTTAATTATATAACAAACATATATTTAGATCAAAGTAAAAAGATGGTGCACTAAAAATAATGTAATGGACAATTTACACCAAATCTGGTATAACACTATTCATTGCACCAAAATAGTGCAGTGATTTGGTGTCTTCATTGAAGTCCAATCTTTACACCAAAACACCAAATTTAGTGTTTTGGTATGTTGGTTGGATATGCCCTTATCTACCATCCAAGAAGTAGATGTGAGATCAAACACCCTGGGAATTAGAAGAGCAAAATGATTCTTTCTTTCAAGCTCAAAGCATCCTAGATGATTGTGATTATGCATGGGATGAACGCAAGGAGTTGTACCCAACACCAATGAGAGGACATGGTAATAAGTCTCAAAAGAAGAATAACAAGTTATCTAAAAGCTACATGAACCAGTATGTACATTACTTTCACCTTTTTCGAGGAAGAAACAGGTCACGGTGATCAGGACCAATCTCAGACCAGAGTCAAATACAGTGGAGCCAGAGATGATGGAGACATAACAGCCCCTTCACCGGCAATCTCAACCAACCCAACAAATGTTGCCGCAACCGGGGCCATCAAAACCGGCAGAACTCCCCGGAAGCTCAACCCTGACTACAACCACGACTCATCTGGTAGTGGGTCCTGGTATGGGAAAATCCCTGCAAGTGGGAATAATGACAATTACATTTTGCCCCATTTTCATATCCGTGCATGGTGTGTTATCTCACAAGCTATGGATAAGAAGAAAGTTTTATTGGAGCTGCTAAATCAGATCAATCCCATTAGCCAACTTTTTGACCTCAGTGAGCATGATTTAGTGGAAAAGCTCTGGGGCAGTTTAAAAGGAAGGAGATTTCTCATACTTTTGGACGATTTATGGGACATTGAAGCATGGAATAGCTTGGGTAGATCATTCCCTAATGACACTGTTGCAAGCAGAATTCTTTTGACAAGTCGTCATTCTAATGTTGCTCCTCGTGAGATGTTGCACAGCCAAGAACCTCATCTTCTTCGACAACTCAATGTAGACGAGAGCATGGAGTTGTTGAAGAGGAAGCTATTCCCAGGAAATGATGGTTGGACACCTGCACTAGCTGATCTTACAATGCAAATCACTGCATACTGTAAAGGCCTTCCGCTGACGATAAACCTAGTTGCTGGACTTCTAGCAACTAACAAAAATGTAGGGAGTTGGAAGAAGATTCGGGATGATTTGATCTCAGGCGATGCGTCTGTCACAGAACAATGCATGAACACCTTGCAACTTAGCTACAGAAATTTGCCAGATTATTTTAAGGCCATGCTTTCTCTATTTTGGAGCATTTCCAGAAGATGCAGATGTTTCAGCAGACAGGTTACTCTATCTATGGATGCCAGAAGGTTTTGTTCGAAAAGATGAGCGAAAGCGCATACAAGATATTGCTAAAGACTACTTGAATGGTTTGATTGACAGGAGCTTAATTATGGTTTCCAAGGCGAAAATGCGATGGTGGAATCAAAACATGCCGCATTTCCATTACTTGCTTCATGAGTTTTGCTTACAGAAAGCCAAAGATGAACATTTTTTTCCATGTCCTAAAGGGACGTGATGAGCTTTTAGCATTTAACGAGTGGTGCAACCTCCTGAGGTCATAAATTCAGTGTGAGCCTAGGCATTTTCCAGAGTTGAAGTTGTTTTGTCCTCGTGCACTTAGTTTGTTTCTCCATGGATATGAACAAGGAATGGAATCACATCCATCACATGGCTCATTCGTGATCGAGAGATTCAGGCATCGAAGAGTGTTGGATTCGCAACTTTATTCCTAATTGTTATTCCAACTGAGATAGGACTGCTTGTTCAGTTGGCATTTCTTGCACTTCCAGGTGGTTTCAACCGCATCCCGTCATCAATAGCAAAGCTCACAAACATTGAAACTATCATTTTAAATCCAAACTGTTACATTTTGGTGGTCCAACAGTCTTTGGCATCTCAGAAAATTAAAGCATCTTATATTGAAGAATGTTGATGGTATCTTGCCTGTAGAAAATCATGACAGCTCCCCCATTTTAAAAATATATGAGCTGGATACGTTTACTGGTGCACATATTCGTTTTGCAGCAGTATGGAAATGCTGATGAGAAAGTTTCCAAACATCCGTCGGTTGAAGTGTATTTATTGCGAAAAGGATGATAATGTAGAGAATATTGCCAAGATCGTCGTTCCTGAGGCAACTAGAATCGCTTCATGTGGTACGTCGAGATCATGTTCCTAGCATTTTTGAGTTGAGCTTCCCTGCAAATCTGAAAAAGTCGAAGTTGTCAAGGTTTCATCTGTCTTTTGGGAATATGTCAACCGTTGGTATATTGCCAAACCTTCAAGTCCTCAATTTTGGACTCAGTAACATTTGAAGGGGAAACATGGGAAATGAAAGAAGGAGAATTCTCCAATCTTAGAATGTTGACATTGAGCTCCTTGAGTCTCGTCAGGTGGACTGCTTGTGACCATCTCGTCAGGTGCGAGTATCTGGAGGAAATGCCATCTTGCCTGGAGTACATCTCGACGCTTTAAATGATTGAGGTCAATGATCGTTCTGAGAATGTCCGAAATCTGGTGAGACAAATTGAGGAAGAACAAAAGAATTGGGGAAATTCAAGTCTGAAGGTTTTAATAAAAACCAATGATTACTTTTTTTTTTTTTGGGGGGGAAAAAGGTAAACCAATGATTACTGATTACTGTACAATGGATGTTTTATTTTATTTTATTTTTTTTATTTTTATTTTTATTTTTTTGCATTCTAAGTTTCCTCCCTCTTCTTGATTCACTGTTGATTGTGTTTAGACGAAAATATGAACTTGTGGACTCATCTCACGTCAATGAGACAATGACAGATAGGGATGATTTCTGTGTTTTCAGACAGTGAGTCCAACCGGTTGATGTCAAATGTATGTAAACTTTGGGCTTTATTTCGCGTACTGATGATGACTGCCTGTTAAGAAGACGATGCCGATGATTTGCTGATTCTAACACTTAATATTATTCAATGGCAATATTTTCCTTTTGGAAGACTGCGGGTGGTCGAGTTCTTTGACAAAACTTGTTCTTTCTGCGATTCTGTTACATGTGTTGGCAACCAATTTTACCTCTTAGAACGATTATTGATATGATGGCGTAGAAAGGGAACCCTACAGCAACAGTGAAAAACTGAGAACCGGTAACACCATACAAAGGAAAGGGCTAAAACTGATCCGAACAAACCGACAAAAATTCCTTCAAGTACGACACAACAAAACACTATCCGTTACCAACTCTTCACTTTTATATCTAGTACTTGCATTCATAACTGTACAATTGACAAGACAGGGCGACAATAATTCAGTTGGTAACATTCAGTTAGCTCCAGTAGCAGAGAGGCCGACAGTAGTTCAGTTGGTAACCTTCAGTAATTCTGCAGGCAGCTGTGCAAAGAACCTTCATTCGGCTGAGCTGGTAAAGCTCCCATATTATCCGTAGAGAATGTCCCCAAGTTAGTCTGTGAGCTAAGATCTCGATCTCCATAGTCATCCACATCATTCTAAATCCAAGGTTAAGACAGTAAAAATAGCACAGACGATAAGCAGGAGCACCGGAAAAAAAAAAAGAAAAAAAGAAGGCAATGGTTAAGCTGATTTGTTAAATCCAGGCCAGTCAAAAAGTACCTACTTCTGTAACAGTTCTCTTGCCAATACCCTTCATGGATCCCTGCAATCACCAGTCTTAGGTGAGATAAAGAATCGTAAACAAGCATTGTATTACAGTGGTAGCCTTCACCAAGCTTTTTACCCCACTGTGAAAGTTGATTACACTAGTCACTCATTCCAATTTGGGTTTAAATGTATCAGGTTTTTCCAATGATGATTTCTTTCCAAATATTCTTAGGTATGCGCTATGCTCCTCCCAATTGTAGTATGAGTTAATACTTTTCTCTTCTATGCCATACTACATATAATGGGTTCCAACAGACATCCACCTCTTCAGTTATTTCTATCAGGTTTTCATCTCTCACTCTCTTATCAGTATTCATTACTTATTCCATCTTAGATCATTTCTCCTGTCATCCATGTCAACATCCTCATTTCTACTTCCTCATTTGATGTTCATATTTTCATTTAGTTTCCCAACATTATAATGCTTGAACGCTAAGTTATCACTCTACTGTTATGACTGCCTACAAAGTCCTCCTTCCAACTTCAGCTGTACTTTAGTAGCTTCAAAAGTCAGGCATATTAAACAAAAGGTCCTGGACATATGATTTTTGGATAAAATTCAGGAGAGTTGTGGTATGGACAATTTGAAAGGAACTAATTTTGCCACAGAAATATAAAAGAAATTTTGCTGAAGAAAAAGGGAATGAAAAACCTTCCAGAAATCGGTACATTTATAAATTGGTGCTGAAAAGACAGAACAGATGCAAGCTAAGTAATAGGAGACACCAAAGCATGGCATGATCAAGAGCATTGGACACCTAAACCATTCCAAATGTTGAAAGAAAATCTTAAAGAAATAAAAATGCATACTCCTGGGTTTGCAAATAGATGTCTTAGCTAGATGGCCATGAATCAGGGACAAGAAAGAACTCCCGCAATATATATTCAAAAAAACTTGAAACGTGAATTCAGGACCTAACAGAATCTAGCAAGCAAAAATTCTTTCTACATCAATAAGATATTGTAGCATACTTTCAAAGATCAACAAAAGGGAATAATTCTAAATAATGGAAACATTTGTGCAGTTCAATGGGACTATGGGTACACAAACCTTATTTGCCCAGAAAAGCCCGCATGCATTGCAAAGAGTTCTAGGACCAGCTGGACCTCTCCGCATCATGGGAGTGGACTTTGAACTTGTTCCACAATTAGTGCACCTAAAAAGCAAAATGGATTATCAAAAAGCATAAGAATGTGGGATCACAAAAATCACATAACAAGCTCAAACAAGAACAAAGGCTGACACCAATATATTAGCAAGTACTAGAGAAGTTTCTGGCTTTGGCTGACGAACTTGACAGCAAGCTGCAAGACCAGAGAAAAGGACTGAAAACTTAAAAGAAATAGGGCAATCAGTGCTTTTCTAACATAAACTCACAAGGTTTCTGGACTATCTATCTGCACATCCTCCGCCATGTCACAATTAAGAGAGTCCTCAGAAATTCTAGGGGCGAATTGACCCTTCTTCCGCTGCATCCTGATAAATTCAACAAATTATATGTAAGAAAACCACGTAACAGTAGTATAACAATTTTCAACTTCGTATAGCCGGCAAAACAGCGTGATTTGCATCATTAAGCATACATTATTCATAAAACTTAATCCTACTTTTTTAAGGTTGTATTTGTCCCAAGTCCTAACAGCCAACATCAATGTAATAAACTCATGTTTTCCCTGTAGATCAACAGTCATCATTAAAAACTCTAATCGAATTCAATAAATTCTTAGTGCAGCTTCTCATTGATCCCAAAACAACTACATTCAACCTTATCAGTTTTCAAAATAACATGAATAAGGACAAACAAAAAGTTTCAGAATCCTTGCTGAATATTATTATTGCGATTAATACATCAAGGATAGTTTCAGCCTAGTACTTGCTAATATATTGGTGTCAACTGATATACTAATCATCTATTTATACACCATATAGTGATATGTAACTGTGAGAATCTTATTTGTTTTTCTCAGGGCAAAAGAGATCATGCTAATCAACCTTGTATACAGTACAAAGTGAAACCAAAATGGTGGAATCTTGATCAATACTTTGTTGGACATGCTAAGTCAGGGTACATGGTGCATGAAACTTTGTTCAGCTAACGAGCAATTGAAAAACAAGAGGGTGAGCAGTAGAAAGAAGCTTAATTTATTTGGCAGTGCATCCAGTTCAGCAGCAACAGGATAGGAGTTTATATGTATTCTTTATTACCCTTGATGCTCTATGTTCAAGCAGCACAAAATTACGATCCACAAAAGTACTGAACGTAGAGGAAAGAATTCAAATCCAAAGGCATCCTCTTACATGCAAAAAAGACAACATAAAGATCTTTGGCCCACAAATAACTAAAAACCACCAAGAGGTAACTTAAGTCATTGCAAACTTTCAACAGACACTCCATCTAATTTACTTCTTTTTACAATGTCACAAAATTCATAAAGGTCTTGACCCCCTAACATCTTTATACTAAAAGAAACATGATAACCTCCAATCATTCCCTATTATAACAAAATGCAAAAAATAAACTTACTTCATTGCAACTTCTTGTCGGACATTGTATCTAATTTTCTTCTCAAAACACCGTCCTTTCTTTTTCTGCCGGAATCTATTCAAGGATTCCGCTCTCTTTGGATCATTACACTTTCCAGTATTGTCTAACAAATCCTAAAATACACAAAAAAATAAGTAAATAAATAATTATTCCCAAGTCACCACAAAAGCATAAGAAGAACTCTATAATCTGAGACAAACAAAAGATACCTTTTGATTGTGATGTATTTCAGCACCTTGATCTCCAGGAGGATATTCACATCCACCCAAAAGTAAGAGCACAGCTTGGACCTAAAATGATACAGAACAATTTATCAAGTCAATAAGTACAGATTCTTTCAAGCCATTATGCAATCAGAAAGAATTACTGTGCAAGTAGAATGGATAAACAAAATCCCTGAATATGGCAGCAAAGAAGCACTTTTCCTCTATTTCTCCATTAGTTGATTATTATATTGCATCAGGTAAAAATCAGATCTCAATCTTTATCCTGAGGCAGCACAACAGCAAATATTTTTCCACCTTTTTAGTGAGTTCTTACAAACTGTAAATTTCCTTTTAATCAACATTTAGTCAAAATAAGGAGCAAAATGGAAGAGAAACTTCAACTCACAGCATCAGGAAGAAAATTGCACACATAATGCATCAAACAGAAAACTTCCGGTAAAGAACTACATAGATGAACAGGAAACCGTCATGCTCAATTTCTCAACACAATTAAGGTGAAACCTTTGAAGCGTCTAATCACACTGGGAATCGGAACCAAAAAGTTCTTATAAGTAGATCAAAACAACTGCTTGAACTTAATAGTTTTAATAATTCAGAGAATAGCAAGAACTAGTAATTAAAATTCAATAGTTATGGCAGTAGATAGTAAAGAAAACTCCTTCAGCCAAACATTTGCTTACTACTTCACCAATAGCAAGAACCCCAAACATTAGCAACAAAAACTAAAGTGGCGTACAAGCTTTAAATTTTCATTGAAGTAGAAACAAACAGAATACAAACAATGTAGTCACCTTTTCAGCAGTAACAGAGTCGAACACATACACCTGGCCACGAAACGAGAGGGTAAGCTGATTAGAAACATCAGCCCCGGGGGCCATCATTCCTTCGTCCGGGCAAACACCACCGTTTGCACCTCCATAAACGGAATCGTGAGGAACTGAGACTTCAATCCCATCCAAACCACCACCAATTCCGCTGCCGTCTTCGTAACCTACAATTTCTGCGGTCTCAATTGAATCCCCACCGCCAACACCAGTAAAATCAGCTTTGGGGTCGTCTCCATCGCCAGGGACAGCGTACTGCTCGTGATCGATGGCGAAGTTCTGCGGCTCCAACTGCACCGCACTATACATTGCCTTAATTTTCCGATTAAAGCTCTTGATACCAGAATTATTTTCCCAAAATACAGCCCATCAAAAACCCTAGCCCAACAAAATGCTGCTTATTAGTTTAGATGAAATTACAAAAAACAAGGCTACGCCGGATTAATTGGACTCTGCGGTGTGGGAATAAAGCTCAGGCTTTTCTCGTTTCAGTGTGTGTGTGCGTGAGAGAGAAAATTGGGGAGGGAGATACAATTGCAGGAGGAAACGCCGGGGAAGGATAGAAAGGGAAATCTGATGAACTAAGGAAAGGAAATTAATGCTTCGAGGAAAAGAGAAAGGAAAGGAAACTAGGGGCTCTTTTGGTATTTCAATCGACGGGAATCAGGTCGCCCGGCGTTGGTTTTCTATGTCAGTTACCTGATGGAGGTATATGTACGTTTTGTTTCGGACGAGTTTAAATTTCAAGTTATAACCGTAATAAATATGACTAATAAATATTGTTTTTTTTATTTGTTAGTGAAAATTGAAAAATTATGAACTAGTCCTGTTTCTTGAAATTTTTCATAATAAAAACCAAAAATTGCGCTTAAAATCGGTGTTGACTTGTGAATAGAATTTTCTTTTTTTTTTTTTTGATCAAGAAAGTCAAAACTTAGTATACAAAAACAACTCCTAAAGGGGGTTGATGGCCGATCTAAGACCATTTTCAGAGAAGTCAAAAGTGACGGGACGGGCAAAATATATAACCCCGAGTTTCGTCCTAAACTTAGTTTTATCTGAAAATCGGCTGATTCATTTTCATTGCGCCTAAAAAAGATGTTTCTACCTTCCATCTATTGCAACGTATGATTTTCCTAGCTCTCTCCAAGATGTCGCTTGCAATGGGAACAAAGTCTTTGTTTACACTCTATGTTCACTCCGTCCTAATAGTAAGTCATATCGATATAATTTTACAATATATTCCTTCCGGTCCTTAATATAGGATATTTTGATTTGTCTTAGGTTTCACCTAATCTGTATTTTTTATTAATAAAAAAATCTTAAAAATATTTCACAAGAGAACACAACAAATATGAAAATATATTTTTAAGGTTTTTTGTCAATAAAAAATGCTTACTAGATTACATTTAGGAAAAGTCCAAATGCCTTATAATAAAGACTGGAGGGAGTAATAAGTATAATAATGTAGTCAAATCAAATATTCAAACACACATAGCATATTCACATGACTTAGATATGTGACTTCGTATCTATCACAAAATACACGTGAGATATAGTTCATATTAGCACCTCTTTGAAGTATTTTCACTAAGCTTTATTCACAATAAGTGTTCTCAAAAAATTAATGTTTAATATTTATGATCGTAATTATATAGATAGTGGTAATTTTTAGAGAAACAAAATAGCAACTAATTAAAAGATAAAAATACCATATCACTTTCTCAATATTACCAAGCATGATAGGGATGGTCACGCATTTATACATATATCATATTAGTTATTATTTCATTTCACTATACATTTTCACTATACATGTCATTTTCTATAAAAAAAAAAAAAAATAAGAATACTCTAGATATCAAGATAGTACTCTATAACCTAAAACCAAATGTTGGCAAGTCTCTTAGAGGGGAAAAAGACTGTTTACTTTTCTATTTAAATACAAATTACAAAAAAAAAAATAGCACCTTATTAACATTTTAAAATTATTTTATTTATTTTTCTTTTTTTACAATTTTCAACCACACCACGGGACCGCCACCTGCAACCATCGTATCGGATTTTGGCTGGCCGACAGTTGTGATAGTCAAGTGGTGATGAAGAGTACATGTTCCGTAGAGGTGTATGAAATATTAAAATTATCTATATCATATTTCAAATTTCAGTCTCAAAACACACATGTTTGTATTTAAAATGTGGATTATGTTGTTACCCGATGAAGAATTATCGGTAAAGATAATCTCCTTCTACATTCCCTTCTCCAATTTCATCCTCTCCTTTTCCTGGTGTTTGGTTCTACAATTTATATGTTGCTTGTGGGAGTTTTATCCTTGTAATGGAATGATATTGAGTATTAAAAAAGAGAAAGAATAGATTGATCAACAAATTTAAACCATCATCATTTTTTTTTTTCCTTGAAGGCACAGTTAATCTTATTTAAGGAGAGTCCACTTAGGTGATTTTTTTTTTCTTTAAAAAAAAAACAAATCTTATTAGTTTTGCTTCTTCCTTTTTTTTTTTTTTATCGGGTACAAATAATCATACTAATTATTCAGATAAATTTGCCATTTTGCCATTAGCAATTAAGAGCACTTTCTGACCTATGGATTGGAGAAAAAGTGAAATGCCATTCTTTTGGGTACTAAGGAAGCCACGGACATATCAGGTAAAGATGTTCTGGAATGCTTCCTGAAGGATTCAGGGAGAGAAACGATGTCAATGGCCGGGGAATGGTGTACATGGATTGAGTACCGCAGGCTAAGATATTAACCCATCCAGCAGTTGAGGGATCCCTAAACACATTGTGGGACGAGTTTTGGTCTTAGTGATCCAGTGATGAATGAACAAGGGCTGAATGCTAGGCTCCTGCAAGAGAAGAAAGTTGGCGCCCGAAAATACCAAGAAGAGCAGAAGATGGCTTCTTCAACAGCACTGATTGTTGCTGGTACATTGAGAATTTGAGATTTGCAATGTTGAGTGAAGAGGGGGAATCAATCAGGGCTAATGCCAGATCAATGACAAGTTTATTTGGAAATTGTGATCGGAACCAAAGCTACATCGCATTCGCCGTCTAGAAGAAGAAAAGGTTAGCGAAACATAGCACAGATTGTTCACAGGCAATGTTCATGATTATGGCAATTGGCACCAAAGAGTTCTGGTTAAGAATTTGAAAATAAAAAATAAACATTGAAGCTGCAGTTGAATTACTTTTGTTTTTAACCAACGCAATTGAGATTTTTAACCTTATTAGAATTCATAGTCAACACACTTACCTTCTAGAAATTTTTAGGTTCCAATCTCAAGGCCAAGATAGCGAGCCTGTCAGCCTGTCATGTCACCAACAAAAGAAAAACACAAATTTTCAAGAAAAAGACAACTTCACTACTTGATAAATGCGAAACACCAATCGAGTTTGAGGACAAAGATTATATATTGTTCCTTCCTGTCTTTATCATAAAGTATTTTGATTCTATCTTAAGATTAACGTAGGATTTCTTTTTATTATAAAATATTTTTAAGATTTTTTTATTATATTTTTCTAATTATTATGAAATATTTTAAAGATTTTTTTTCCAATTAAAAAGACATCTTAAGTGAAACATAGGACGAAATCAAAATGCCTTATAATAAGGATGGAGGGAGTAGGAAAAAAGCAGCTTTCTTGGGTGTCATCTTTTGTTATCTGGACCAGGAATTTCATCATTCAACTTTAGCCATCCAACAGTTTAGTCAAAATTGGTGCTTTCAATTCAATTTGTTGTGCCATTGAAAGTAAATAAACTACTTCACTCTTCTGGAGCTCATCAGGTTAGCAGGAAAATTGGTTCTCCATCTTCTTCTTTATCATGGAAAAGGGCAAAACTCTTCATGTGGTGATGTTCCCATGGCTAGCCATGGGGCATTTCATACCCTTTCTGGAGCTCTCCAAACACTTAGCCCGGAAAGGTCACAAAGTCTCCTTCATTTCTTCACCAAGAAACATCCAAAAACTCCCAAAATTTTCCCAAGATTTGGCTCCTCTGATTGAGCTAGTAAGCATTCCCCTGCAGAGAATTGAAAACTTGCCAGAGGAAGCAGAGTCTTCCATGGACATTCCCCGCGACAAACAGCGGTACCTGAAGATGGCTTTTGATTTGCTTCAATCACCAGTTGCCACTTTTCTTGAAGGAACAAAGCCAAAACCAGACTGGATCATAGTTGACTATGCTTCTTACTGGTTACCCCAAATAGCAGCTAAAATCGGCATCTCAACCGCCTTTTTCAGTCTCTTCACTGCAGCCACTTTGGCATTTTTTGGACCTCCATCATTCGTGTTGAATGGAGAAGATGACAGGACAACCGCTGAGAGCTTCACAATAGTGCCTAAATGGATACCGTTCCAATCTAATGTTACCTTCCGCCTCCATGAAATGATCAAGAGTTTTGAGGATTCATTCAGCCAAGAATCAGTGGTTTCAGATCCTATCAGGTTTGCGACTTCTATTCAGGAAAGTGATCTGGTAGTCGTTAGGACTAGTGTTGAATTCGAGCCCGAATGGGTTGATCTTGTTCGCGAACTTTACAAGAAACCAGTTGTTTCATTAGGTGTTCTACCTCCATCCCTGGAAGACAAAGATGAATCCGGAACTGATGAAAAGTGGCTTGAAATCAAGGGATGGTTAGATAATCAGAGTGGAAGCAGAGTTGTTTATGTAGCACTTGGAACTGAGGCAACACTTAGCGAAGAAGAAGTCCAAAAAATGGCACTTGGATTGGAGCAAAGCGAGCTGCCATTCTTTTGGGTACTAAGGAAGCCACCAACATCAGTGAAAGATGTTTTGGAGATGCTTCCAGAAGGATTCATGGGGAGAATCGCGGCCAATAGCCGTGGAATGGTGTGCACGGAATGGGTTCCGCAGGTGAAGATACTGAGCCATCCAGCAGTCGGAGCATTCTTAACTCATTGTGGTTGGAATTCAGTCATTGAGGCGCTTGGTTTTGGTCGAGTTTTGGTATTATTTCCATTGATAAATGAGCAAGGGCTGAATGCTAGGCTCCTGCAAGAGAAGCAAGTCGGCGTGGAGATACCGAGAGAAGCAGAAGATGGCTTCTTCACCAGCGCAGCTGTGGCTGATACATTGAGATTGGCAGTGTTGAGTGAAGAGGGAGAATCAATCAGGGTTAAAGCCAGTGAAATGAAAAGTTTATTCGGTGATTCTGATCTGAACCAAAGCTACATGGACAGTTTCATTCGCCATCTAGGAGAGGCAAGAATTCAAAAAACATCAAACCGATTGTCCAAATAATTTCTCCCACCAAAGGCTAGGAGTCATACACCTCTGGATAAGAATTGGCTTTATTATGTAACTAGCATGGGCAACCGCACGGACCCGGATTGTTTGAAGCCTTAAAAGGAAATGAAAATATTTAGTTGATTATTTGTTTCGAATGAGAGTGATAATTAATATCTCGACAATAATTTTAGGACGGAGAGAATATTTTCAAAGAATTAGAGTTGAATGATTTGTTTATCACAAGAATGAACTGGAGTTTCAGGTTAGATGTTATAACTTGCAAGTAGATCATGTGTTTATTTCTTCTTCCATCAGATGGGACTACTTAATGTAATGACATGGAAGGTTTATTGTGTAAATTCTGAATCTCAGTTGATTTCGAAATAATATTGCTTTTATGTCATTCTTTACTAGCTTTGAATCATTATAATTTATAACTGGTTGGGGGGGGGGGCAAATTGTCCTTATCCTTTTTTTTTTTGCACCAAAATAATCAACTGCCTCTGTTGAAATAGAACCTAAAAATTACATTGATCCTGATCATTTTCCTTCATCTAAAGTATGATCTCATGGTCGGATTGGACACTACTACTTTTTCTACGGAAGTGGTAGAAGCCTAGAAAGAATGATACAGCTTTGAGTTTTTACAGAATGACGTATTAGTACCCTGGCTTGATTTTAAACAGTCGGCACCCCTAGAATTAGCAATATATAGAGTCTTTGATGGCGTAGATTCAGTCCACGTCTCACCATTAGCATCAGCACCCGATGAATATTGATTGGGTAGTTTCAAAACCTCACTAAGACCAAAGAACATCAGCTCATATCTGGAAGGAAACAAGTCTATAGCATAAAATGGGATGCCATGATACCGGCAATACAGACCACACATTTGACTCTCTTCAATTGATCACTGCCGGCTCCAAAGTTTTCTTTGGAACAAATCTTCCATTGGGTCATCCATTATCTACCAAAAAAAATATTTCAGATTTGTTTTGAGTTTAATAAATATTTCAGAACTGTTTTGAGTCTAATTCTGTCAGGACATAAAACAAACACATCGCATACAATCCACAATTCACACAACTTTGAACTAAAAAAATTCGTACGCAAAGGTTTGCAGAACTAACGAATCATCAAACTCCAATTCAAGATCTGGGATAAGAAAAAAAAGATTCTTGACAGAATCGAGGTGCCCACGGCGTATTTAGTCCGGAGAAATGACAAAAAGCTTGGATGTTCTCAGGGGGAATTCTTGGGGTTCTGCTAATTGAGTCCAAACCATACCTCATCTTGCCGTTTTAGCTTCCCTTTCAAAGAGAGTGGTCAACCTCCTCGTCGTCCAAAGTTCTCCGACGCGATGACACTGTGAAGCGGAGGCGCATCCTAAATTTGAGCTAATGGAAAAAACCTAAATTCATAATAGATAGGGATCAATCTCACCGAATCCTCAAATTTTTACGTGCCCTCGCTTCTCCGGAGATAATTAGAAATCTCTCTTAGTGGAAAACAAAGAAGACTGAAGAGAGAGGCAGGCAAGAAAACGGCGAAAGAAACCCAGGGCAGGAGTTACCGGGTGAAATTTGTGCCGGTCACTGCGAGCAACGAAAAGACCTGAAATCGTGACCGATGACCTAGAAAAAACGGAGCTATAACCGGTGGATCCGCCCTTAGTATATAGTTAGATGAGATATATTTTTTTTTTTGAAACAGGCCCACCCCTGTGGGCCCCACCATTGGTGGTATTTTTTCCCAAACCCCCTTCCCCGGGTGTCGAACCTGCGACCACTTTGGGTCAGCAGGGGAGGGATTGACTATGCCCCTACTGGGGCAATCCCTCACTGACAGATTAGATACTCTTATTAGGCATGATGGGAGTTAAAACACTTCCCCAGAGCCCGATGAAGATCAGCGTTACGATCAAATGACTAGACAGAAGAAACTTCAGTATCTTTGTGCCATACGAATGCAATTAGGGGCGCAAATATGAAATCCAAAATAATGATAAAAAAAAGGCTATGTGTTACAGCAGTTTTGACTTTGAATAGTTGTCGATGTGGGTTTTAACAACTTCCATTTTTACGTCTTTATAATTCTAATGCAACAATTCACCTCATTTCAGGCAACAGAAACTTGGATCTGTCCAAGATACAATACTCTTTTCTGGATGGATGGAGTATTAAATGATAACTGACATAGAAACATAAAGCGAAAAAACGTGATTACTCTGTATGTTGATAAACATGGTGATCAGAACCCATAAATCAAAATCTGATCTGATGAAAATTAACGCCTCCAATGGGCAAACTCTATTCTCTTAACTATTAACAGTTGCTGACACTATCGATACAAAAGCTAGATCAGGTATGAAGTGTACTGTGGAATCTACAGAGGAAGATGTTTCTTATTTTCAAATGTAGGAACTAGTGAACAGAGGGACCCTATTCATAATTGCGACATGAATAGTACACTGTATATAATGGGTTAAACACCCAGGTCACTTTACATGTATCAACACGTACCATTAAAGAAACTGGTGCAAACGCTGTCGGCTCAGCTTTTGCACTTCAGAATTTCTGGACGTTATCTGAAATTTAATCCAGCCGACTTAATTCATTTTCGTCACCTGGTTTTCCCACATGATCAATAAATTCACTCAACAAACAGCCAGGCCTGCATCGATCCAATCCAGATTCCTGTATCTGGAAAGGCAAATTCAGATACTTCGATGTCAAGAGAGATATGAAGAGTTTACAGTAGGGGTTGGATCGCTGTAGAAAGTATCATCTCCTCGTATCATGCCTCATCACCAGACTAAAATGCCATGGTAAATAAAAAAGCAGGATATCTCAACATCCAGAGTGCACACTTTGCCACATTGGGTTGACTTCTGACTATCATTTCGGCAAGTGATCTAGTAACCAAAGCACTTAATTTATCAGCAGGTGAATAGCATATGCTGAATCACGACTAAAAAAACAGAAATCTTGATTTTAGAAAGTCAAGAGATATTGGAGCAAACATACCTCAGTACATTCAATGGTTCCCAAGCACTGCCTCTACTCCAACTACAATTGCACAAAACAGAAGAAAATTATGATTTGGCATTACGAGGGAGACCACTTTTACGACTTTGAGGATTATCTATCGAGTAAACGAGCAGATTTCCATCTTTGGTCCCAGCTAGAAAGCATTCTTCAGGTGTCACTGTTAGTGAAGTTAGTATTTTCCCAACACTACTGTATCTTTTCACCACTTCCAATGTAAACATGCAGCGAACAACAATTTGACCCTGGTCTCCAGCACAAACTAAAAACTGACCGCAGGCACTTAACTCCACGCAATTCAGGCGACCATTTGATTCAGAGGAAGCAATGTGTTTTCCATTTATTGAATACATGTGCAAACTAAGATCATCATGGGCATAGAGAACAATCTGTCCATGCCTTGATACAACAAGCTTTGATAACGCACAGCCAGATGGTTGGCGAAGTGATCTAACATATCGACCTTCCCGCAAAGTATGAAACACACAGGTGCCATCTTTTGATCCACTAATAACTATATCAAGTTCAACACTAGCATATAAACATGTGATTATGTCATCATGCCCACACAATATGTGAAATGGAGTTTCACTAATCACAGTGTCTCTCCGAGAAATCTCAGCTTGTGAACTTTTAATACGCTTCTCAGGAGACCTAACACGAGTAACTTCCCACACCATCACTGTTGTATCATAACTTCCCGTAACAAGAAAACTCCCATCAGATGTCACTGAAACACATTAAGAACTTTGAATGAGAATACTTATCATGTCATCTCAAGAGCAGCAATAACCACATAACTTTTGATTTGGAAAACCACACGAATTTACTAGTATTAATGTAATCAAGTTAACACCAAGAAAAAAAAAAAAACTGCAGATAGTATACAGAAATAGTTATTTACTCACTTTCCCATAGAGTAACACAAAACTTCCTTATATGAACTTTTGAATTTTGGAAACATGTAACACCCATCAACTTACATATTGTCAAAGACAACTCACATTCTCAGAAAATTAAACCCTAGATGTTAACCTTTCAGAACTCATAAAAGCAAACCTACTTTAGAAAACATCTATATGAATCTTTACACATTGAATACTTAATTTTAACCCATAGAGCAGTCCCTCCGGTTTACTAACTACAAGTAGCTTCATCACAATCAAAACTAAAACTTCTATTGCATCAACAATAACTTACCGGCAACACAGCTGACAATGTCTTTATGTTGCCTAACACTCTGCATAATTCTTCCCTCACTGAGAGATATTACTTGGAAACTATTTTCCCAAGAACCACATGAAATCAGAAAATTTTCAGATGGCATTTGCAATGTTGAAAAGCACTGTGCCCCAAGTTCAATATTTTCAGCCAAAGGGCTACCGATTTTACGAGAGGGAAGTATGTCAGATCCAACTCCAAAAAACGGTTCCTGAAAAATGAAATAGAAGTCAAGTCAGTATCCAGATAGATTCATGATGGAGTCTTTCCTTTCATGTAAATCAGGACCCAGACCTGAGAGCCAGAAAAGGTGAAGTTACCACCAGCCTGCATTTGGGTTGTCAACCATATTTTGACGGACATGGTTAATCCCTGGTTTACGAGTACAATGCTTGAGTCGAAGACTTCAACATATACAACAGCGGCTGCTGAAGTATTTGAACTTGCTACAATGGAAGTCAAATTGATAGAACCGGGAGCAAATCGCAGAGGATGCGCGATTGGAATAGGTGGACCTCTTCTAGGATGTTTCTTACGGAAAATCTGAATTGGAGTCTGTCCAAAATTGGCAATCTGATCTTCTATGGCCGCTCTTTGCAATTCATCGCCCATGGTATCAAGATCAACAGCACCTTCGTACGTCAAATAATAAAAGACATTCGCAGCCTGCGAACCAATATTTTTAAACATCAGCAAGCATACAAGAAACATGCAACATAAAAATATGGAATGAAACACATTTTGCTACAATTTGGACCAATGGATCTCGATGTGCAGATACCTCTACTGCTGGTTTACCACGCTGCTTGTAACCAAACACCAAGTCAATCCAGTGATGCAGGTTTGAGCTAACATATTCACTTTCGAGAGCCTCTCGGTTTTTATTAATAAATTCCTCAGGGGAGCCCTGTAAAACAAAAGAAAAATTGTCATTGTTAAGCTTTTGGACTTAAAATTATCCTTTTCCGTTCAGATCCACATTTTCCGTGACAGAAATAACAAATGTCATAACATATTAAACTTCAATACAGAGCGACTACTATAAAAGTACATCTTCACCAGCATAGACAGCAGCTTAATCTCATCTTCATGACAGACAATATTCAGCAGCTTACAGCTTACCACACTTTTCCATATTTATCATAGAAAATAAAGACAATTTGTGGAAGACAAGTCGCGTTGCTCAGTTCTTTGACATGCATGATTCAGTAAATCACTTACTTCAATAACTGAATGCTTAGGGCCTGTATGGACAACCAGCTTAACCCAACAAAAATTTATTTACCTCTTAAACCCAAATCTCGAGATAAAATACACCCTATCCATACAACACATTAACTTAAAATTGTAACTTATTTTAAACATAAATTGCCGGGAAGTTGGCTGTGTAACCGGCAAGTGGTGTTAAAATTATTATTTTATTTAAGAACCTATCTTTACGACATCTCAAATATCCACTCAAAACACTTTCTAAACCACATTTCAAATCTAAATAAAAAACAAAAACTAAATAGTTGTGCGTACAGGGCCTAGTTATCACTGCAAAACAGAATTATACTCATTAATTTCTAAATCCAAAAAATGCAAGTCAAGAGTTGCATACCTTCGCCCAAGGGGGCAGGATGACATCAGTTAAAGGCTCTCCATCTTGTCGTATGCCAAAATGATAGGAGTTTGAATTGACAAGGAATTCTGGCATGTAATAAAATTCAGGAATTAACTCCTTCACATCACTTGTATTTGAGAGACAGTTCCTGTATGTGCCCTCAATGCTTTGGAAAAGTCGGTCTGCATGATCAAATTTTCCACCCTGATGAAGGAAGGGGGTGGGGGGTTAAGGAAAATCCTAAAGCAGTGATATAGTATAGTCATAATCAAAACAACCTTAGGAAAGGCAAAAATATGATCTAACTGAGCTAGCTGCAGAAAAGTCAAATAGGTGAGGAATCAGGAACATGTCCATACCTGCAAATTGCGGTGAAGAGCTGTGAATGGCTCTAATCTCAGTAGGTAAAAGAGTACGATTCCCATACTTGAGTAATGAGATCCGTAGTAAAAACTGTAAGAAAATAGCAAAGTTTTCATTGTTGCTGATAATCCATTGCAAACAAAAGTTTCTTTAACAAGTTTGAAAGTACCTCGGAATATCCGGATCGCAGAAACTGCGGTACCTATCCTCAAAAACCTATGAAGATCAAAAACCAAAGTAATATGATTGAGGTGAAGTTTAAATAATCTCTCCTTATGCATATCAAGACAATTCTCCACAGATAAAGATGAACATGAGTTCCTCTACTTTTCACAAGGTTCTGTTTTCGGGAGACAGCAAAAGGTTCTGGTTCTCAACATAAGATATGAAACATGCATAAGCTCTGTGTGTGTGTGTTTTTGTTTGTGTGTGTCTGCTTTTGTGTGTGTGTGTGTGTGTGTGTGTGTGTGCGTGTGTGAGAGAGCCCAAAAATGTATTTAAGGAATGTGGAGAAATTTTGTGTAACACATTTTCTTACGCTTTAGATTACAAGTAAAAAAAGAACACACAGTAAAGTGTTAAAATGTAGAAAATGAATACTTGCACTAAAGAATGACAAACATTGCGTATAACAGAGAATGTTCCGCAATCATTTTATTTGTGTTTTGTCTTCTTTGTTCTTTTTCTTTTCAATTTCCTTCAGAAAGCTTGAAAAGGGAACTTCAAACAGCAATGACAGATAATGAACAGAAAAAAAGTTTACTAACCTCAAAACGTTTCATATCTAGTGCTCCAACAGGTTTTGACAGATCTCTGAAAGTTGTCGATTTATTGAAATCAAGATTCTCTGATGAATAATCAGCAAGGACCCAGGGAAATACAGGATACTGAGTTAAATCATTATAAGATCTTCCAGAAAGAGTATTCAGAATCATCAAGTATTCAAAATTTGTGATATCTCTTCTCCTCCAGCTCTCTCTGGCAACTTCAGCCATTTCTAGTGCCACACGTCGATCAACAAAGGAAATAGCTCCAGTCCTGTCCTTGTATCCCTTTGGGAGTATGGAGTCATTTCTGGTTACTACAATGAGATTTCCAACATCTTTTGCATCTTTTTGTGAGGAGAAATTCAAAAATATAGGAGCGACAGAATCATTGAAGAAAATCTCAATTGCAGTATATCTCAGCAAATATCGAGTCCAGTGCACAGCCTTTATCTACATTCAGAAGTGCAAGTCAAAATTTACTCAGTTCATTTCATAAGGCAGAAAGTAATATCAAATATGAGGATTTTTTTTCCCCTCAAGTATGAGGAATATAATACTGCAGTTTCAAAAGAAAAAATAAAAAATTGAGGAATAAAATATTATAGTTTCAACACCTTAGAAATGCTCCATCTCCTGTGACGTTTAATACTTTTGTGTTGCTTTTGCAGAACAGTATCATGGATACAATCCAAGACACTTCCTCTTTCAGAAGTCAAATCTGAACTTAGGGGGAATTTACAGAGCTTTTGTTTTTCATCTTTCCCCAATTGATCAAGCTTGCGATGATCTAAATTACCCGAAGAGTCAAAAATCTTGAAAACGGACGACCCACCGGTACCTTCCACAATAAACTCTCCAAAGAAATGAAGAAAGTTCTTCATTACAGCAAATCGCCCAGCTAGTTTTCTCTTGGGTGTTACAAGAACACAGGGTACAGATATAAGGACCTGAAGATAATTCAAAGGTGAGAAATCTATATTCATCTTTGATAGCATACAAAATGTATATTGTCCTACCTCACTATGTTCTGCTTCGGAAGACGAAGCGCGATAATCCTTTCTGTCCTGCACAATTTCCTTCTCACCACTTTCTTTTACAGCCTCGTACTGCCTGTTTGATAAATCTTCAGAAGTCGCATTCTGCTTGCTTGAGTCAGCATCAGTTTCCGTGATTTCCAAATTGCCCTCATCCGTAATCTTACGAATCCCTTTGAGTAAGAATTGCTTCATTTGCTCTGGAATTTGTGCACCAAAACCGGTTCTCCCATCATTAATGGTAGTAGGTGCTTCACTGTTTACTTGAGTGTTAGGGGGCTGACACAGTTTTTCATCAAAATGATAGTTCCGCCTCAACTTCTGCCTTCGACGCCATGCATCCTCAGTTTTGTCAAGTTTCCAATGGGTTATGGTTATGTTAGGGAATGGAGTCGCAGACCATGGACCCCTCTCATCAATTAGAGACCGGAACGTATGTATCCATCTCTCCTATTGAAGAAAATATTCGAATCATATGTCGATTAATAATCATAAAATTAAGAAATGAGGAAACTTATATCGCAAAGAAACAATCAATTCTGTTGGCATACAGCAATGCTTTGTTGTTCCTCTTCGTATGCAAGCTGAAAAGAAGCTCGTCTTTTATCATCTGAAGCAAGAATGGTAGTTATATTGCTTAGTATCTCATCTTCAACAGCTCTCTTTCGGTCAGATTCTGATGCCAACAGCTCATCCATTCTAAAGCGCAGATCATCTACTTGTCTGCTTCGATCTGCTATGGAACCTTTTATGTACTTTATTTCATCAGCAACCTGAACAGTGCAACCCACAAATTTCAAGATAAGAATCCTGATAATTAGCTAAAAATAATTTTGAATAGATTGCTAAAGTCAACATTCATCACACAACATTCTTTCATAAGATGAAGAGAAGCTTTTATAAAAGAGAGAAAAGAAAAAGATCTACATCTAGCAAAGCAGTTATGGTACAGATTCAATTAAAAATAAAATAAAAATCCATTCATGATTTATGTCCAAATAAATTAAACTTAATTTGGGGGAGAGTAAAATATTATTCACAAAAGTGATAATAAGAACATTGCATCTTTGACCTATCCAAATTGCATTTTCGAAACAAACCATAAAAGTTCCTTATAGTTTGATCAGTCCTTTTTTTGATCTCAATCCCTTGCAAACCCCAACTGTAAATGCTTAAGTATCAAAAAGCTTCAGGTTCGCCATAAGTAATTTGTGGAGAAACTCTCCATAAGTGACCTAGTATTCTTCAGATAGATCAACTCACATAACATAATTTTCTAATAAAATCAATTTCATGACAGCATTAGGTAATCAGCAAGCACCTCACAGCCTGTCCTCACAACCCTTCCCCGGAATACCATTGAAAAGTAAAAGATTAGAAAATAGAAAGGTAGATCCTGTCTTCAATGGAGAAACTGGGGGAAGAACCTATTGATGGTAGCCAAATAGCACAATCATTGAACAATAGGTTCTCAAATAAGGGTAAGCAAAAGTGGGTACATACAGCAGCAGTCACTCTATCCTTTTGAATTAAATTGTGAATGGCGTTTGGTTCTTTTGGATAGCTGCCCAAATCTGAAGAATCATCTCTGCTGCTTAAACTGGAAGCCAGAACCAACTTACTGCAGTTGACCGTTTCTCGGATTAAGTGAGATATCACATGGATTCGAGCACCATCATCAGATTTCCCATACTGGGACCTAACAAGGAGCAAGGACCTATGTACAAAACAAACAAGATGCCACAGGTTTTATGAGTGAAAAGTAGCAGAAAGAATAAACATTTCATTGAATGAGGATCAACAAGAATACCACAAGAGTACCACATACAAATCCAACATTATGTCACTAGTTCATAACGCCAGTTTGGTAGGAATAACAAATATTTAGAGGAAGAACTGTACCATATGAAAAGTTGCACCCGGTTCTTGCTTGGCTCATCATCAGCATTCAGCAGACTAGGCAGAAGAGGAATGAACTGCTGGACACATCGGGATACTCTTTCCAAGGAAGATTTACAAAGATAGAGGACCATTAGCCTGAAAACAATCCTTGGACACTTTTCCCCTCTCAACAGCATGGCCTTGTCAACAGTTTTGTTTGGTTTCCCACCTAGTGCATTACTAATACCACCAGACACAACTACCGCAGCCATTTCCGCGGCAGGAATATTCAGCGATTCCACCAACCCACGAGCCCTTTGGCTGAAAGATGGCATTGATGTTGATGATGCCCTGGGAAGTGTTTTGCTGGCACCTTTGCCAGACATCAAACTGATAACATTCCAGACGTAGTCATATACAATCCACCACTCATCATCAATTTTAATATCTTTGGTTTCGTCTTTCTGCTGTTCAGTAGATGGGTTTCTGATACGTATTTGGAGGAAAAAAGAAAAGCAAAAGCCAACATAAAGAAGCATAGTTAAAGGATATACATCAGAGCATGAAGAATTACCAGACGGTAACTCAGATACCAGAAGTAAATGATAAATGAAAGAGAAGAATCAGAAACAATGAAAGATATTTTTAGAATACCTGGACAGCTCTTCTCCACTTGTTTCTCCAGACAGGGCTTCAGATAGTATAGAACCAACATCTTTGTGATTTTCTATTTCCAGAATGTCAGCTGTATATCCAGAGCCACTTGACGGAAACTAAAACCAACAGAATAGAATAAAAGGAACTTAATCACTTTTTCTGCATTCTTTTAATTAGATATAAGGGGGAAAAAACAACATGCTGAACTAATTTATTTTTTTCAATATCAAAAGTCCGTCGAAAATTCACTCTTCTAGTAATAATTATACAGCTATTACAGGCCAAGCAAATTGTTTCTTTAAAACTTGAAAGAAGATGCAACATTTCGCCCAAAAGGAAGAACATTTTAACAGTAACCAACTTCTAACCACCATATCTCAACAATCTAAGACTTCAATTCTAAACCTGTACAATAAGTTCCAGCAATCAACTTCTGAGGGACAGTACCAACCTTAACTGCCACTAAGATGAATCAGCACAATTCAACAGTAAGAATCAACGGCAATGGATTTCAAAGGGTAAATCTTCAAATCACTCCAGGTGAAGAATTCTGAGTGTAAAACTTCAATTTATTTTAAGGTAGTTCGTGAAACACATGTAAGCTGAAATCATTCCATTTCAATAAAAGTCTGACAATGAGACCAATAAATCTCTAGAGCAGATAAGTACGAGATCTGAAAAGTAATGCATATCTTTTTAGTTTTAAATCCTAAACTGTTACCAAGTTCGTTGAACCAAATTAGCTAAAACAATCTTTTATAATGTCAGAAACATAAACCTTCAGAACTCAGTACAGGCAATGACATTGATTGCAGCACAAACCAAGTTTTTGAAAAAAAAAAAAAGATGAACAACATCCAAAATGATGTCCACAATTGAAAAAAGTACCGGAATTTTGTGGTCAACTTCAGAGATCAGAATATCGTCCACTAGCTTCAGAAAATACAAGACATTGTCTCGACATGGCTGAGAGACAAAAATGTTTTCTTCAGTAGATAATAGCCTTTGAATCAAGTCAGAACACACATCACGCAGAAAATAACGGTATGAGATGCCGCCCTGTGTAGAAAAGATATAACCTCAGTAGTTAGTTTGCAGCTCCAAATAAGAATAAATAGTATGTTCAATTTAACCAGGTGAACTAAGAAATATACCTTCTCACATTGTAGAAGCAGAAAATTCAGAGTCTCTTCTAGCTGTTGCCAGCCACCTTTCACAGAAATAATGTAGTGACACAAAACGCAGCAGTACAAGCTTCTTATAAAAGTTTGCTCATTGATTTGAGTGTCATTCTGAGTTTGCGATTCCACTTTGTAATTTTTCAACACATCAAGTTTCACAGAAGTGAGCAACCAAGCATTCCATCCATGTTCCTAAGAGAGACTCAAAAAGTCACAACCAATTACAGGACAAAAAAGAAGTGATTAAATAACCACCTACGTTATCTGTACCATTAAAGCTTCAATATTTGAAGGATTCGAATCCAGGAGATCAAGTAGATCGCCGATAATTTTGGTCCTTGAAGTTGTATCTTCACAACTTGACAAAAATCTGAAAATGAGAGCAAGGATTTGAGGAAGGAAAAACTGAGAGTTACTCGTGCTACTTCTTTGATGGTCAAGCTGATTATGCTTTTGCAGAACCTGCAAATAAAAAATTGAAATAGAAAGTAGTTCAATTACTCGCAAGACTACAACGGTCAACAAAGGTGGACAATTAACTACCTTTAGAGGAACCAAGAAACAGAAGGAAAAGCAAATAGGAGTAATTTTCGGAGATACATGTAGCTCTAATAAAAATTCCACACCTGTTTAGGACTAGCACCTCCAAGAAGCACATCAAACAATGTTGCACATAAAACCTCTGTCTGAGGAAATTTGAAGAGCCTATCTGACATCATGGAAAAGACAGGTTGCATCTTTGGACCAGCTTTCTTCTGACCCTCTTGAAGAGATTTGGACCGCCCAACCGCAATATTAAAAAACTTTGATCCCTTTTTCTCTGGTGGAAGGCCAACTAAAAGCCTTCCAAGAAATTGCAAGCTAAGCAATCTAATGGGCTCAAAATCCCTGAGATAAAAAATAAAAAAAAGCTGTAATTAGAGGGATACGCCAGAGAGATACCTGCATATAGGCATACCTGCAGACCTGAAACCCAACATGCTGTTATATCTGCTCCTATATGCTAAGGGAAAAAACTTTCCAAAAGGACGCCAGTTACCAACGATTAAAGAAAGGAAATGGTAGTTTTTTAATGGAGAAACAGAAGAGAAAAGAGAGAACGGGCAGAGAACAGAAATAAACTTGGGCAAGCCCCAGCTTTCGGTGCCAAATTGGATCTCCCTAGAATCGTTATGGGTATTTCAATTGCATACTCAGTCCTCAGCATTTGCAATCATTTAAATTTTAACTTGTTTGGAACACAATGCTGTATAAAAGGTTCGCACTTTTTCTCCTGCCTAGATTCGGGCTAAAAGACCAATGTAACAATGCAGAAGGCTAAATGTACCTTTTAAGTATAGTTCTGGATCCCAGAAGAACAAAACTAACTGCATCTTAATTAGACCAATCTAAGTAAAACCGTGAAGATACAGAAAATGAAATAAGCTGGTTTCTGGTTACGTCCTGAAAGTTTATTTAGCTGACTATCATCACATACAGAAATTGACCATAAATATATTTGAACGACCACATGCAACAGCCAGGTGAGGTTATCTGAAAAGTTAGTGACGCAGGACAAAAACGTGGTGGTTAAGAAATCAGAACTTAGGCTGATTAAAGAGTAGTATGCAGCGGAAACTAAAAGAATCTGTAGGAAAACAAGCTTGGAAATCGCAGGAAAACAGGGATTAAGAGTAGGAAAGAAAACCTAAGAATCACTCTTAGGGCCCTTTGGCATCACACCGCAGGAATCCTAGGCATCACACCAAGAATTTAGTTGAGTCGCACAACTATTGCAAATCAAAGCTTATTGTAGGAATTTTTATTAAACGTCTCTCAAAAATCTCCTCATATGAGGTACATATAAATAGGCCTAAAACTTAACCTAAACCAAAGACAACTAGGATTCTCACCTAATTTCCTTTTTATTACAAGAAATTCCTGCAGCATAACTACAATACTAAAATACCCTTTCCTAAATATTAATACTGAAATAAGAAATTAAATTACTGCTTAATAAAGGATTAACTTAACCAAAATCCCAACACTTTGGCCCCTTCCTTTATCATGATGATCCTGGGCATAAATATGAAAGAACCTACTGATAGGGTTCTTCTACCGTTCCTTGTCCCCATCATTCTCCCCTGGTTCAAGAAAACTCATCCTCGAGTTCTAAAATGTCTGAGAATGAAGAACCCGACAATCTGAAACATAAGCCATGGCACTACAGCATATTCAGCATGAGAAAACTTCTTTCGGCCAAATGTAGGTATAAGAGTAGACATTTGGAATGTACTTGCTGGTTTGTGGTCATAAACCTCTCCAAAAATGAAATCAACTTTCGAAATTCCAGGATCATAAACTTTTGAATGGCATGTCTTTAAAACTTGATTCAACTTCACAAAATTTTCATTCGGACTTGTAGCAAGGTTTCATGAATCAAGTCAGTTGACTTCTCACATGAACCAGAACCTCCCTCCAGTTTAGGATGCAAAATATTTCTCAGTAGGGCTCCTCCTTTAGCTACGTCCTCTTGAATCTCACCAAGATTGAGAAGTTGTACTTCTTTTGCCTTATTACCAAACGTATTAAGTTGATAAATCTCAGGCTTATCAGCGCTCTCAGTAAGCTTACTTTGCTAAACTTTTTGAACTACTTCTTTCATCAATACATTCGTGGCTTCTCCTTTATGATCCTCTTTAAAATCCTGAACAGCTGTAGATTTATTTGTAGTCTCCTTAGTAAACTCCTGAACCACATAGATCATAGGATTGTTGTCTTGTTGAACCACATGATCAGTAAGTTCATCATCGGACTTTTCTAAAGATGCCTCGGCAAAATTCTGAACCTCTGAATCTTCCATTGAAGTCTCCTGAGCCGCAAGGACCAGCGAGCTACTGTCTTGAACTAATTGAACAATAGGTTCATCCTTGAACGTTTCTGCAGACTCAACCAAATTTTGATTCTGAACAGCCTCTCTGCACACATCCTCAGCAATGATAATGAAATTATGTGTGAGTCCTGAAAAATCAGGTGGTTTTGGAGGTTTTTCTGTCTGAAAATCAATAACATTAAGACCAGGTTTTCCATCTTCAGTAGGGCAACTAAGAATTTTCTTATCTTGTTCTACTTGATTCTGGACAAACTCAATTGTAGCTTCGGTAGGATTCTGACCTGAAACTTTTTCGTCCTCCTTAGTAACATTCAGAGCTGAAACCTCAGGAATCACTTGATCACTTTTTTGCTTAGGTAGGTAATGCTTCATCATATAGTCATCAGTTTGGGGCTTCAAAACAACTTTTATGTCGTTGAAGTTAAAGGAGTAGGTGTTGGCTCTACCATCATGCTCTACTTCCCGATCATATAACCAAGGTCTTCCTAAGATTATATGTGAAGCATTCATGGGAATAACATCACACCATATAGAATCAACATACCTACCTCTTTTGATGTCTACCAAGCAACACTTCATCACAGGAATAGTTGTGCCATTAATCCAACCAACCTTATGCGGGTATGGATGTGGCTCTGTTTTTAAATTCAGCCTTTCAACAGTGGATTCAGAAACCAAATTTGCACTACTACCTCCATCTATAATCACTTTCTTGACAGTTTTCCCACAATAAACGAATGTCTGAAAGATTCCTGTCCTTCTCCAATCTTCTTCTCCTATTTTGGTGCTCTAGAAATTCGCCAAATTAGTGAAAGATAGGACATATCAACATCATCTTCTACCTCCTCCAAACCTTCAGTATCAACCATGCCCATCTCCTCTTCATCATCATTGTACTCCTGCTCATCTTCCTCAACGATTTCTGAACTACAAGGCAAATTAGGATAACCTATGCTATGGGGATTCATAGCTGTTGATCTCTAACCCTTTTGAAAACAGAATTCATCAGGAAAATCAATTCCAATCTGATCAAAAAAGTATTAAAAACCCCAGGAAATTCGGCTCTGATGCCAAATTGACGCAGGACAAAAACGTGGTGGTTAAGAAATCAGAACTTAGGCTGATTAAAGAGTAGTATGCAGCGGAAACTAAAAGAATTTGTAGGAAAACAAGCTTGGAAATCGCAGGAAAACAGGGATTAAGAGTAGGAAAGGAAGAAGAGAAGAAAACCTAAGAATCACTCTTAGGGCCTTTTGGCGTCACACCGCAGGAATCCTAGGCATCACACCAAGAATTTAGTTGAGTCACACAACTATTGCAAAGCAAAGCTTATTGCAGGAATTTTTATTAAACGTCTCTCAAATTTCTCCTCATATGAGGTACATATAAATAGGCCTAAAACTTAACCTAAACCAAAGACAACTAGGATTCTCACCTAATTTCCTTTTTATTCCAAGAAATTCCTGCAGCATAGCTAATATACTAAAATACCCTTTCCTAAATATTAATACTGAAATAAATAAATTAAATTACTGCTTAATAAAGGATTAACTTAACTAAAGTCCCAACACTTTGGCCCCTTCCTTGGATCATGATGATCCTGGGCATAAATATGAAAGAACCTACTGATAGGGTTCTTCTACCGTTCCTTGTCCCCATCATTACCGTTCCTTGTCCCCATCAGTTAGCAAAGTTGAAAGAAAATTACAATCGCAAGGGGTGTGGTTTTCAATGATTTGCAACAGAGAAAATAACTAGATTTCTAAAAGGATATCCTAACAGATGTATTCAACAACAATCAAGGGAAGATAATTGAAGAAAGACTATATTTTGCAAAGGCTCAATATTCACCTAATCAACCACATTGCAACGTACCTCTGAAGAAGATTGACAAAAATGTGACATCCACCAAGCAAATTAAGCTGTTCCAAGAATGTAGCAAGCAGAGGCTTCTGGGAAACAGCACGAATAACCATGTGTAAAACATCTTCAATGCAAACCATGTCCTGACTGGTCTCAAAAAAAGCGACTAAGGCTTTAATGTCTGCGACAGATATATGCTGCCTGCATATTTCAAAAAAGTTACAAAATTGTCATCAGAGACATATCTGTGAGGTAGATATGGCCGGGAACTAAATCAGAACTAAAACTGCAAAAGAAAGTGAGCATAAATTACCTGAGACTCATCTCACCAAGACTCAGTAAAAGAAGACGGATCTTATGCACTTCTTCCTTATTAGGTCTCTCTCCAACTACTTCATTGGTGATGGGATGTAAAATTGGCTGGCCACCAATAGCAGAACGGCATTTTGCATTGTCCCAGTAGAATTTCCGGATAATATCAAGAACTCGAGGGAGCCTACACAGACTCTTTAACAACCTTGGATCATTATCAAATTGTTGGATGAGAAACATGTACAATTCACGTTGCACTTTATACACTGCATAGACCCAGATGCGGGGATTGAAAAATATACTGGATATAGACTCTTCAACGAGCACATCAGACAAGCCTGGAGAAAATGAAAAACAATGGCACCGAGCATTAAAATTTACAGAAATACTGTGGGCAAAGAGAAGCAAAATGTTAAAAACACAACTATCAATAGATATAAAAGGTCATCTCTGTACCAGAAATTAGTAAACATAAAGACTTAAAGTAACATACCAGAACTAGCAACGACATTGAACAAATGCTTTAAAGCTGAAAGAGTTTCCATGTTAAGCTGCTGCGGAGGAACTGATTGCAACAAAAACCCCAATATGGAAAATCCAGAAAGAAGAACCATTTGTTGCTGATTGGCCAAATTCTCATCCAGGACAGAAGCTATAAGTTCTATCACCTCCGCAGTCAGACGTTCCTTAGTAATTGGTGCGAGTAAAGTTTCCCCACATTTTTCACTATTTGTATATTCATAGAAGACAGACTGAGTAAAAAGTGGAAAGAAGACGGAGACACCCCCAACACAATAGATTATCTGCTGAAGTAACCTCCTAGAGCAAAGCTGTGTGCCAACCAACACAGTTGCCTCAAATGAACTGTGATTAGATACAAGCTCCAGAGAAGGTGAAACATTGAACAGTGTCCTACCATTGCTCGCCTGAGAAAATAAACCACTTTGATTTTCATAAGATAAGACAAAGAAAGAATTCCTAATGATCTAGCAAGCATCATTGTTTTGTTACCTGTGCATTGAGCCCAAAAATGATTTTTGATGAGAGGCCATCTCTGGCATCAAGAATGACACCAGGTAAAGAGTTTTCTAAAGTTCCAATGTCGTTATCAACAAAGGAATACATATAGCTGGGACCCAATGAATAAATGCTCTGTACTTGTTCGAGAGTAATGGCATCATTTAACAGGTAAACGGGACCTATCTGACCAAAAAAAGGCGAGGAATCCTTGATAGAGAAAATAGAATCATCTTCGTCATAATACGGGAGATGGACTTTTGCACCAACTGAGCAATTCATCAAAACTTCATTGACCTTTGCATATCTGACCAATAAAAACATAAAAAGCTAAAATACGCACAACTTAACTAAATTTGGATCCTTCTAATATTGTGGCCCTCAGCGGGTTGAGGGTAAGTTAAGCAAACTCTCACACCCTTTGCACAAATTTAAATCCCTACATAGTAACACACCTGCACTTTTCTGAAAATACTAGAACTCCATCAATAAAACATCTGAGCTGGCTGCCCCCAGAAAATGCTCTCCCAATTGTATGTGTCAAACACAAAAAATGCCATTTTTTCCTTACAAGATTCACTGGAAGTGACACGGCCTGGTGTTTTTGATTGTTTGACTGCAACAACATGAATTGAGTCAGCACCGTAAATTCTAAGTTGAATGAGATAAGTCACGACCGAATGCCTATAAATAAAGGATCCAGGCGACACAAGGATCACATGAAGTTAATCTAGCAACATTCTAAACCGTAAATATAGTTCTGAGCACAAAATGGAACTTTTCAAAACGAGAATCTGAAAAACCTTTTTAAGTACCTCATAAATCAACCGGTCCTTTGCAAGAACTGAAAAACACCCTTTTCCACTTTCTGTAAGAAAACTAAAGAGGCCCATTGTCCCATTTCTAGGAAAATTTTCTACCCTGAGCCAACAAGTAAAAGAAAATCCCTTGTTCAGAGGCCAGTGAACTGGCATTTTGATCATGATTCCCTGCAAGCGAAATTGAAAATGCAGAAACCTGAGTGAGTAGTTTAATAGTAATTATTAGAAAGAAGATAAATCAATAAACGGCAACCAAACTAATAAGAAAAATGTTACTTATAGACTAAGAAAGTTATGTCAGCTATTTGATACACTTATAGCAAGCATGACTAAGAATATACAGGATGGAGGGAAAAAGTACACCAATTTTCTCATTTTTGTGATAACAGAAGAAGTTCTGGAGGGAAAAAGTACACCAATTTTCTCATTTTGTGTAACGTTATAAGGAGTTCATCACTTACATACAAATTCACAAATAGTACTCTCCGTCGGAGTTTCACTTTTAGTATGTACAAAAAGTGAAAATCTAAACAGGACAATCATTTTGGGATAGAGGAAATAGTATTTAAGGGGAAAAAAATTAAAACCATATCTACTGGGAGTGATGAAAAGAAGTGCCATGCCATGTGTAAAAAGATTTCAAGGATAGGTGAATAGAACGAAGGAGAAAAAGTGCCAGATTCTATGACCTCGGTACCTCACCCAAAATGGTGAAAATAACCTTAGTCAGTCATGAACTGCGTACTGCTACAGAAGTTCATGAAGCAACTGAATAAATGAAAAAAAAATCATGGAACCTTCCGGCTATCTGGGAATTTTGAAATAGTTCCAAGATAGTGAAACATTTAACAGAGAATCATGTTTGCCTTTTACATGGATTACCTTGGGAAAATCTTGCATTTTGCGGTAAAGACAAACAACCATGAAGCCTAACCGGTGTATATGTACAGTTAAGGTTTCCAATATAAGTTTTGTCTCCCATCATGGTCCACATATGACAACATGGAATTTGAAAGAGCCATCTAAATGAACAAGAGCGTCCTCAGATACCTCCCTTAACTAAGAAAACCTTTCATCGGGAAGGTCGGTTAAGACTTGACACGAAAATTTAAAAAAATTTCATAGGGATAGTCAGTTAGGACTTAACCCTAAAAATTGGACCTAGCCTGAAGGTTTCAGTACTCTATGGAGAGCTGTGTAAAGTTAACCCTAAAAATCAATGAACTCGCACTAGTTGCCACTGCTCACATAGGCATGTACTCCATAAAATTTGTCATAATTGTAAAACAAATTAATTCCTAATAACTTCTGGAGCTTCATAAAAAAACTGGGACACTCACTGAATCAACCCCGTTAAGATCAAAAAAAGCTGTAGGTCCTTTCTCATTTAGCATGGATAACATGCTGGTCAACAGCAAGGAGCTGTACTGCTGCTGACTTCCAACTTTCTCACTCCGCAAGAGAGCAAATATTTTCCGGATATCTTTTCCAGAGATACTATGTCCACCAGTAACCTGAATCAATTGTGCTATCTTCAACACCACATTCACATTATCTTCTTGAGAAAACCAATCCAAGAGGAAGTTAAGGGTTCCTGCTCTAACACATGAATCTCGATTTGATATGGAATCTCTAAGCAGCTGAAGACAAATGTTAAGCCCATTCTGCCGCAACGGATCACTGCTCTGCCCAGTCATAAAATCATTAGATAATGGCTTACATTGATATTAAAAATTGAAAGACACATTTGAAAACATACAACTGAAAGTGCAACCACAAAAGTTAGTCACACAAAGACAATAAGAGACATTAAGAGCCAACCTTCTGGAGAACGTTCAGGTAAAGCAAAATCACATCTTCGTTCTGCAAATACAAAATTAATAAGTACTATTAACAACAAATTGAAGGAAAGATATCTTTAGGTTAAAGAGAACAAGCCAAACAAAAAAAAAAATTCAAAATTCAAATTCAGATGGTTATCCCTCATCAAAGAAGACCGAAGTTCTGCTGGGAGAAAAATAACAACATCCATAATCACCTTTATCACCGGGCAAGCTTTGAGATCAAATTTTCCGTCAACCAGCATATCAAGAAGAGAATTTAAGAGTGCTTCACTTGGCTGCTGTTGGCAGAAATCCAACAGTAAGCTCTGTAGTGTCTGATAACCCTTGCCCACGAGAGCTTTAAAGGCAGCCTTACAAAATGCAAATCAGAAAACAAAATGTTCCCTATAAGAATCTATCAAATCACTCCATCAACATAAGCAGCCAATATGAAAATAGCCACATTGAGACAAACTAGAATGCATATTAATATACTGACTACCAGCCACGAGGTAGTCATGAGACACTACATCTAATCAATGACTACAGAAACTACCGCGATGTATGGGTTGATCAAGAAAAAACAAAGAAGAGGAGTGAAGAACTGTCCCTACTCAGAAAACTTATTACGAATCGATAAGGTAAACAGAAAGAGGAAGGTACCTTTGAAGCATCGTCCCCAGAAAGCAGGCAGGTAAGTGTCTGGAGAACATTCAGAACCAAGTTCTCACCACTACTTGCATCAAGGTTTGAGTTCAGTAATGATACAATGTGCAAAAAGCACTCACCATCCCGGAAGAACGTACGGTATTGCTGGCAACATGAAGAATAAGTATATTCAGCAAGCAGAAATTAATTAGAGGGAAATGTCAATAGAAGTAATTCCAACGATGGGCATCAGCACACACCCAAAAGAAGGAAAAGAAAGGAAAAAGGTAAAATATTTGTAAATGAATAAATGAAAGACAAGATTAAGAGGCTCAGTTGCCCATATTTCCAGTAAACTTCAGAAAGTAACATATTTGATGAAAATGCATATTCCAGCACTACTCACAGCAGTCCTGCTGGCCTCACCAGAAATTACCATCAATAATATGGCTATTGAGGGGCTCATAACAAGTTTTTGTATTGCAACTTTTCACATTTTCGGGTAATATTAATTTAGGACTGAAATATAAATGTCTGTTTAAATCATAGAACTACTAAGGGATTTTGCCAAAATAGAATAGTGGCAGTATGTTCGTTGAGTCTCATGTAGAAGAGCCTCATGTTGCCTCAATTGAAGAAGATACTTGATGTAGGTTTCAGCAAAAGACAGACTACAAAAGAAAGAAATATAGCAATCATCTCATGATTTTCATGACCAAGTCCATAATCTAGCACCCACATGGAAGAGCTGGTACAATTCAAAGAATCCATAACTAACTGGGGAAAGTTTTAACTTCATTTATAATGAGATACCAATGAACAACATATAAGAAAACTAAAATCGTGTTAAACAAAGACTAAAGGAAAAGAAAGGCTTAGAAGAAACAAGAGACTAACTCATCGGAATAACAACATACCCTTCTATCCATCAGAAGTATATTTCTCATGCCAACTAACAAATCCACAGACAATTCTGCAAAGTTCTTCTCTCGTTCCTTGACGTGAGTAAATGTCTCTAGATACTTGGAGCACAAATATAGTTTTGACTTTCGATCTTCTTCGGAAGAAGGAACAATCTGTCACATAGCATAGTATATGATTTATTAAGAGTTCATCAAACAGTCATCAAAGAAAAATGATGAGAATCATAGACATACCTTCATAAGTTCAAGAATGTACCGAAGAATATGGTTTCTCAGACCTTCTTCCCAAAATAAATCAAATAAACAATCGATAGAAGCAGAACTGTGCAAGATAACAATTTTGGCATCATCAGTGATGAAATATTCAGCAAACAATTCCATAACTGTCTCCACACTTTTGTGCCAACCCTGAGTACTATTAGTTAAATTAAAGATATCATGACCCAGTGAGGGCACCAATTCATCAGGAGAGGCTACTACAGAAGTGCTAACACTCTCAGGCTTTCTTGATTCTTGAGCCAGGATGGAAGCAACTTTAAGCACCCGGGGAATCACATCAAGAGTCTTGAAAGAAGAGAGAGTTTTCTCAGGGGAAAGCTGCATCACATGTAGCAGGCTCTTGGCAATAACATCAGCAATCTCAGGATGGGTGACTGACTGTTCAAGAGTTTCGATTAAAACTAGACACTCCGCCTGCAACATAGTGAAAGGAACTTTAGAGGCAATAAAGTCCAATTATCCTACTATTAAAGGGTAAATTTTGAAAAACCAGAAGAACTGAAAGAAAGGAAGAATCCAAACTTGAAAATTAAGAAGACACGACAATCTTCAGCAAATTGTATAAATTGCATCATGGAGGAGGGGAACGGTGAGAGAAATCAGTCCAGGCAAAAATATAAAATGACCGGAACATATCACAAATATCATGGAAATTTAAAAAAACAATACAGAACAACAACAATAAGCCTTTATCCCACTATGTGGAGTTGGCTAAATCAAAAAATTAAAAAAATATATATAAAAGAAGAAGAACGTTTAGAGAGAAAGAGAGAGGGAACTGAATGACAGCCTAGTGGTTAGGTTGCTGCTGTCTTTCCTGGTAATAGACCAGGTTCGATTCCCACCAGGGGTTGTAGGGGGGGGTTTACCCACATTTAAGTGGGGTCCACTGGGGTGGATTCTTTTTTGAGAGAGAGAGAGAGAGAAGGGAACACCCCTTTAACTTTTAAAACAGCTTGTAGTATTACATTGAAGTATCAATCTCGCAACAGAAAAATGCCTACACAAAGAGAACCATAGAAACAAAAGAAAGAACCTATGCAACCTATAAAACCTCAACCAAAGCAGAGAAGACAAGCAAGAAATACAAGAAAAGAAAGTAGAACCAACCAAGTTATGTGAGCTTTCACTTAAAGTTGCAGCTAACTCCAAAAGTGATATTGCTTCAATATGAAGAGTTTCAACTTCATTACTGTTCCCCTCATTTGAAGTCAAACCGGTAAACTGCTCACCTCCCAGCATGGAAGCTTCAAAATCTAAGTTTTTATCACCAGAAACATCTGCAGGGATAGGGCCAAAATAAAAAAGATTCTCCGAGAATATGAAGTCCCATACTCCTTCTGCCCGAAACACATCAAGCACAGAAGGAAATGAAACAAGGATTGTTCTGAATGTCAACAGAACATGATGCTGCAGCATAGAGGCAAATACCCTGTAAATAGCAGAATGAAAAAAATAAGATTAGGAAAAAGAAATAAAACCACCATTTTAAAACAAACTTAAGTTCAACCATATGAATCAACAATCTGAAACTACAAAAAGCATGTGAGATTAGCCTATTCTTCTTTCTTTTTCTTCACATGGCTGCAGACAGGGGACAAAGATAAAACAGAGGAATACTTGAGATTCTTGTAACAAACCTTAAGTGAGAAGGCAGCTCGTTTTGGTTCGAGCATGCCTTAATGCAAGGGAACAGAGTAAGAAGCACCCTCAAGAACCACTTGACCGAGAGTTCTAGATATGCCAAAGAAACTGGAAATGCATTCTTGGCAGCAAACTGTTGGATGTTTTGTCTTTCTGTATCTCCAAAATCAAGAAGGAAAGAGCAAAGAGCTGCATTCAAGTTGGCAACATATTCATTCCAGTTTTGTGAATAAGATGCACCTCTGGTAATTGGAGAAGACCCTGCTTCATTAGATACTTTAACATTTTTTTCCATATTGTTCAATAGAAGCATTTCCAAATCATTCTCTTGGTATTCTTGAAGCATGAATGACAGAGAACAAAAGCTATTTGCAAATTTATGTACTCTTCCATTCTCAGATAAGAACTGCATATTGCTCAAATTTCCAAATCTATCAGCTGGTTAAGGAGCATCAATAGTACTCTTTAATTTTATGTTTTAGAGCGGAAGGAGGAATTTAACAAGCTAAACACAAGCAAGTCATTCAGCAATTCCACATAAGAAATATAGCAATTCCGCAAAGAAAAAATAGTTTTTCAGCAGAGTTAAAAAAACAGGTTTCTTCCCAGCATTTCATAGATGAATTATGAAAATCTCAGATGTGGAAAGGATACACAGCCTCCCGGAGCACCTCCAAGGAAAGAACATGAAGCTGGAAAATTGATAGCAACGGACTTTCAATTCTGAAAAAGACAAAAGGTTGAAAAGTTTACAGCATGTTAAATGACTAGTCTTAACCCAATAAAAAAGGACAAAGATGCCGTAGTTTGCAAAGCTAAAGTACAATGTTGAACGGCATATTCAATCAGTTTGAAATTTGAACCTGGATGTTCTCACAGAGGAGGAATTGTCTGATAAAATAGATTTGTTTGATGGAACTCCTAATCCATCCAACAAAACTTCCAACCCTCCAATACTTCTAAAATGATTTTGGCCCCGAGGATTATCAGCCAATGACAACCGTAGAGTTCTCAGTGTCAAATATTGAAGTGATAGATCAGTCCACTGTTCTTTCATCATTAATCTTCTCAGCACACGCAGCAATTCTGGAAGATAATTCCCAAGCAATATAAGAAACTGAAGCTGTAACTTTCAGGAGCATCACAGAAAGAACACTAATTTGGACGAAATTTTGTTTTTAACAAAAAAATAATAATAATAAAATTCAGCTTTATTAAAAAGAAATAATGCGTTACAAAAAGCACAAAGATATTTAACGAACAAATGAGCACCTGAACACAACTAAATACAAAATCTTATGCTACCCACTCTTGTGTTGTCTTGGACCCTAGAAGAAGATTTTATAGAATACTTTTCAAGGAAAAAAACAGTATCATTAGTAGTGCAATGAAATTTAGTGCTTTATGACTTTGCAGCTTTGTATTTCAAGACCGATTTGGTACATTAACTGATCATGCCACAAGTGTGGTGATATCTTCATCTTCCAAGGGACTTCTCTGAGAGTTTTTAGGTTACTGCAGGAAACCTAAACCATGGTTTGGCTTCCTGGCGATGTCGGGAGTAGCTCCTTTGAGTTAATAACTCATTACGGACAAGGAGCCAAAATAACTCTCCATTGTACATTATCACCTTATATATTTGCAGTCCAACAGCTAACAAGCAAGAATTTGATAAAATTCAAAACTATGCAAAAGCAAGGGTCGTTCATTGTTTTCACTCTTAAAAGAAAACCAATTTTCACTTTTCAGAAGAGAGCAAGTCTTTTCTTCACAGTTTTCCATTTTCATTGATCAGTAATAATGAAATACATAAGAGCAAAAGCACATTACAGCAACGATAAATAATTTTGCAATAACTCTGCAATTAAAGTGAAGTCAAATAGGAAATTCCAATACTGTATAACAATTTCAGTTACTCTGAAATTAGTCAAGAAAGCAACTCGAGCCCATATCAACGAGTTAAAAACATTCTAACTGAAGGACAAACCATGAACCTCCAATATTCTACCTAATGAGCCTATCTCTTTTCCATATCCAATTATAAGTCAACATCACTTGTGCACTTTAATGTGTTTGCAATTTTCGAAAGTGCCAGAGTAAATTGCTTTATTAGCACCATCAAGTAAAAACACAGTAAGCAAGATTTGCCTACCTTACCTACTAACCAGTTAAGGCCACCAGCCTCCATCAAAGAAACAATGGATTGTTTCTTCTCATGTGTATGAGAATGCAAGTCAATAGAGCGAAACAATACCAACACCACATGCATCAATATCTTCTGCAGAATACCAGACTTCTCCAATAGTGAGGGTGACAAGCTTTCATCAGTTAAAAGCGCACTACTAACCGTCTTTAGCTGCACCACAGCAGCTGAAAAGATAATCATACTTTCTACATTAATTGTGGAATTAAAAGTAACAAATAATATTCCCCAAAAAAAAGGGTATTCTTCCATATTCAGCAGTAGATATACACGTAAACAGCCAAGAGACGGGAAAAAGCACCAAAAAATAAACAAAGCATACATTCAGGCGAATGCCAAATTAGTTGCAACAAGGAATTCATGAGTCCAGAATTTTTTCATTCTAATTCACTGCATAGATTTATATATCTCCCGAATCATCCAATAAGCCACAGAGAAATTATAAGAACACACCCAAACAGCTAGAGGGAGCATTCAATTGGCCAAGCAGAAGAAAGGAAAAACAATCATTTGAGAAAGGAGTAAGAAAAAAGGGAGACAAACAGGTGAATGATCTATAATTTCTTCATATGCATATGCAGAATAACAACACTGAGCCTCACCCACCAAAAACAAAAAACAAGAAAATTTCATCTTCTCTTCTCTCTTCTTTTTCCATCGTTAATAAGTTTATCTTTAAAATACTAGGTCTGCTAATGTTATTAATTAATCAGCATGCTTGGCTAAAAGTGGCCATAGAAAACAACTAAAATAAAGTTAAAACAGACTAAAACTTCCAAGTATTTTCACATTGAAGAAATCATGTTTCAATGGTAAAATGGGAAAAATTTACTAACAAGACTATCCGCCAAAGTAATATTACACCTAGTCAGCCAAAAAACAGAAAAGAGAAACAGAACACCTCTCAGATGCAAGACAATAACTAGTAAACCAATAGCCTACTATGTGGGGTCAACTGTGTGGATCATATCTTTCGTCTTCTTTTATCAATCACATCAAGTATAAACAAAAAGATGCATACAAAATCTAAACACAATAAACTGATATTATACCTTTCATTAAGGCTATTAGCTTGTGAACACCACCATAAAATCCAAACACTCTGCAGTTATGAATTGACCGAACAATCACCGCCAAAGCATCTAAGATGGGTAACCCTTCGTATGTGATAACACTTGCATTACTCTCTGGTTTATCTGAGCTCGACTGGGAAACTGAATTTCGTACAAAGTTAAAAATGTACAAGTCAATACACTTGGAGCTGTTCTTCATGCAGCCAGAAAATTGACTAGACAAAATCAATTTTATATAGAACAAGTTCCACACATAGATCTAGAGGAAGCTGAAGAAAGGAAAAATAGAGGAGATTAAATGCCACTAACAGTCAAAAGACTACTAAAATTAAGACAAATCAGTTAGCAACAACAACCCAGCTATACAATCTGAAATATTAAACTTTTCAGCAGAGCTTCCATAAAACATAAGATAACCGTTCGCATAAGACATGCTTTCAGAGGAATAGCACCTATATATACTTTTTGGCCCTTTTCTTTCTGAATTGAAACCCGGTGAGAGCCATCACTCCACAACATTTTTTCCCCAGAAATTGCGGATAAACAAAAAGATTAATGACATGTTCACCAGTAAGTAGTAGAAAAGTCATAAGTTATGAACACGATATCCTGAATGAAAAGGGCTGATGCTAATTTTAAAAAATAAAGAAATAAAAAAAAAAAAACATAAGGAAGGAGAGAGAATATAGAAGCCATGTCACTGAGATTAGTAAGATAGAAGTCAGAGGAACATTACAGTATACATCATAAGTCAGGAAGTTAGAAGATGTCATCAGTTCAAGAGTTTAGGTCCAGACTCAAACATTTAGTTAACAATCTAGAATGAAATCTGTCATTTTGCATAAAAGGTAAGAACTAACTTACATTCTACAACCATTGCCGTAAGTCGGGTCACTTCTTCTGCTATAACATGAACAATCTCCGTCGGATGACCAAAAGAGCAGCCAACCACCACATTCTTTAAAGGTTCTGAACTTGCCAAGGAAGAGGCAGGGGCAGTATCAGCATGAGATTGGCCAAGATTTGCTGGTTCCCAGTTTTGGTATACAACTAAAAATTGCTTGAGGAAGACATTGAATAACTTTCTTCTTTCTGCCTGGCAAGTGAAAATTAAAGATGAGATTTACTTAGTCGGCTTAAGCTATGAAGCTCACAGAAAAGCAAAATTAAAGGAATTTCATGCATGTTTAAGTGGCATAAATGGAAACATTCCTACACTCTAGTAAGCTTTCTTAAACTAATTTCTTGAGTCGAACTCATACACACTACTTTCATGAGTCGAACTCATGCACCAAGCAAACTGAAGGCATCACCTAGGTACAATATCAAGAAACCAGAAAGGGGGGCATCATGCTGAAAAATCCCCAGTTTAATTTATACAAAAGCAGAGGCAAAGAGAAAGAAAATGGTCTTGGGAATTGAACGACAGCCTAGCGGTTAGATTGATGACCTTCCTGGTAATGGACCAGGGTTCGATTCCCACCAGGGGTTGTAAGGGAGTTTTTTACCCACATTTAAGTGGGGTCCGCTGGGGTGGATTTTTTTATAAAAAAAAAGAAAAAAAAAAAGAGAAAGAAAATGGTCTTGATTTGAAGGTGATAAGTTGCAATTCATAAATATAAGGATTTCATGGAACTAAGAAGAAGCTTTCAGCGTAAGGTCAAATAAAGGTGTACACAAATCTCTGATCCACTATATGACATGGTATTCTGACTACAATTGGTTTACTTTATGACAATGACACAGTGAAGAGAAATCTGCTAAATGCTGATTCCAAACAGTGTAAAAGAGATTCTTCCCAACTTAAATTGGTAAAATATAATAGTTGGCATGCAATCATTCATAAAACACAAGAAAAGAGTATAAACCTTCAAAATAGGTGAAAACAGAAACTCTTCCAACATTTGTCTACTTGTCGTTGGACAGCAAAGCAGAATGCTGAGATACAAACACTAAGTGATACTAATACCAAAAAAGGAAGGACAAACACCATATGGTCATGAAATCGTGGCTCTTTTAGTGAGAGATCTGAAAATGCACTTACATGTACTGAAACCTTGCATACGTATATTTCTGTAACACAATTTCTATCGTGCACAAATAGAGAGTGCCACAAAAAAGATCATACTGTGAAACAACATTCAACCTTATCTCTCGATTCAATGTGGCAAAAGTTAATATACTGTGCCTAAATAATGAGCCCCTTCAAATCTAATAAGCGAGAAATAAAGTCCACCAAAGTAAAAAGTTAGTATTCTGCTGTGGAGTGGATAACTGAAAAGATCCAGATGGTTATACACTCATTACTTTATCTGAAAGAAGCACTATATGTTCTGCAGTAAATTACATTCAAATATTAACAGCTGTTCAAGAACATAAAGAAACAAGAAAAAATACCTTGTCAAAGGAATTTTCATATCTTTCCCAGAGTGTATTGAGAATCGCCTCATCACCAACATCACTGTAAAAGGTAGATGTGAAGTCAATCAAGCTTAGAAAGATATTATATAGATATAGTCAATGAAAGAAACTTTTAGTTTGATTAGTGTTCAATACAATTCACATTAGGAGATAAAGAATAACAAAGAATTAAAGCAACACAATGCAATAGCTCCCATATTTCTTTTCAATTAAATCATTTCCATACTTCTTAGGCTACAGTAGAATGGCTGCTCGTACCCGAGGGTACTTAGTTCTCGAATTTTTAGTAATTTTAGCTTAGTGAAAGATGATTCAAAGCATAAATTTTACATCCTTCCATTGCTATTATAGTGCAGCATAGTACTGAACATCCATGCATGAAAGAGTTTAAAATAACTTAAGTCGATATTGTGGCTCCAATTCCAATAATGCCAGAACAAACTATGAACACATGTAGCACAAAAATTTAGAAATTTCATTAAATTTATCCTCTTCAATACTTGATCACTTTTACTCATTATGATATTGCATCACTTTTTGTTAGATGATCACAGCACAGCATTGTGATCAAAAAATATCTATCAAGTCTGCTAGCTCATTATTTGACTTCAAGTGAAGCTATAATGTTACCGTACACACAAAGAATGACAAATAGCAACTAGAAAAGAGTTCATAAAGCAACATTTACCAGGGTAAGGATGATAAGTACCTGAAGCGAATCGTTGGTGAAGGTGGAGAAGATTTCTGTGGCGGTGAGGCTGAAGTAGTGTCTCCAGTCGAGCCACTGGATGACCTTCGAATAAGGTCAGCTACACCCTTAACTATATTCATGTTTTCCACAGAAAATCACCACTTCCACAACCAAAACTCATTCTCGCCAACCATTATCACTTCATCCACAGAAGTGTTCCTATTCCAAGTGACATATAGCACATACTACAATCAAAATTCGCCAATAAACTAAAAAAAAGAGCTACAATGAAACAGGCACGTCCATTTTCCTGATCACGTACTCATGAATAAATTAACGCACAGCAAGATAAAATCAAAGAAATTTCGAAAGAGAGAATCAGTTATCGGTGACGCACCAATGAATAAATTGATCAAACAAACATTTACATAAAAAAATTAATACTTACGAAACTGGAAAATCATTCATAAACTTTTGATAGAAGATAAGAACTCCAAATTAATCAACAGACGAATGCAGAGAAATTAAACAGAAAACGAAAAATTACCTGATCGAGTGGATAAACTCGGTCAATGTAACAACTCTTCCAGGTTCTTCTTCTACCTCGTTTTCTTTCTATTTTTCGTAGGGTTTTTCTTGTTTAAGATCTGAGAATGAAACTTTCCGGATGTTAATTTATTTCTTTTTTCAATTAATTTTAGTTTTAGCTGAGAATGATGGATTACGTAAAGGAAGAAAGAACTCGGGATCGTTTATAAAAATGATGCTGCGTGAGTGAAAAGGTTTACGTAATAAATTGTAATTTCGTCATTTGTGAGGGGCTGCATTGATAAAATTTGTTCCGGAGCCGACAGGGCTAACTCTGTCATTTGAATTTGCTTTTTTTGTCATTCGAAATAGACTGGGCCAGCCCGGTTATGGTGTCAGAAATTCACCCAAAATTGGTGGACTCTTACCTACAACAAAAGGAGTCCCGTCAAATGAAAACTTTTTTTTTTTCGACATACACATGAAAGCAAATGAAAACATTTTCATTACCAAAAAAAAAAAAAAATGCTTTCTATAATCACAAAATGTATGTTTTCCCATTATTTTTTTAGATAAAAAGAAAAGAAAGATAATAGATGGGCATAATATTTTTGTAATCACTTCAGGACGGAAGCAATACTAGCTATTAACCTATGAATTTTCAACTACTATTTCATACATATAAACTGGAAAATTATTAATAAACTTTTTGATAGAAGCAAAGAATTCTTTTTTTTCAACACACAAGTGAAGGTAAATTATACAGAAAAGGAACCTGATGAATGTAACAATTCTTCATGGTTCTGCATCTACCTCGTTTTTTTCTATTTTCGTAGGATTTTTTTGTTTAAGATCTGAGAGTAAAAATTCCAGAATATTTTATTTTCTTTTTTCTATTAATTTTAATTTTAGCTACGAATGATGAATTACATAGAGGAAGAACAATTCAGAATCATTTATAAAATTTAGCTCTTTAAGTGAAAAGGTGGTTTGTGTAATAAGCTGATCATAATTTCCTCGCGAATGTTTTCGTCCTAAAGTTATTTTTCAATTCAGTTTTTATCACTATTACTTTCTAAATGAAAAATTAGCCCTGAAGTTATTTTCCTCAAATTTTTCTTTTTTTTTTAAAGAAAAAATCTTTTCAAAACATTAAAAAGTATGTTGGATTAAGGGGATTCATGGGATCTTTTTCCCTCCCTGAGTTGATTTGAAACCTGAAAATGCATTTTGACGAGGACAATTGATACTTTATCTCACTGATTAATGGGCGGACACGTGATTGTATGTGTTTTATCGAACATGGATCACCAGAATTGGGTGCCATACCTCAAATCATTTGTTATTCCATTTAGGTCGAAATGTCTTTGTTTGTTCACTAATAAGGTTTGAATGTGGATCATTGATTTCTGGGGTAATAATCATAAAACTAATTTTTTTTTGTTCTCTAGTATGTTTTTTTCAAAATTAAATATTAATAACTGTCCCATCTTAATATACATTTTTACATTTTCAATACATCTTTTTATATTTTAATAAAAAAAATAGCTGAAAACACACACTAAAAAAAATTAAAACATCCGCTTTTTGTTTCACTGACAAAAAGAATAATATAGACATTTCAAATTTCTAAGACCATTTTCTTTTCTTTTATTTTTTTCCTGCCGAAACTCGACTTGAGTTTTTAGGCATTTCACGCTTTTACGGGGTTGACCAATCCTTTTACCCTATTGAAAGGAAAAATGAAATATATCCAAACTTGGAGTTTTTTACCCAAAAAATTATTTAAAAAAGACCCTGGACAAAAATAATATGGATGTAAATTAGGTGGACAATACTAGTTCTCTCGAATTTGCCAAATCCGAGAGTAACGCACAGTCGGATTTCGCAAATTCGAGACAACCGAAACTCGAATTAGTGAAATTCGAGACTTTAAATCAACGAATTAATTTAAACTAATCAAGTGTCGGATTTCACAAATCCGAGAGTCAGTAATAAAAAAATATTTATTTCTTTAAAAAATAATCTAAGTGTTCGAAAATAGAAGTTGACTAGAAACGGATTAGCCTAATCCGAAACATAGAAATTCGGATTTCGGAAATCCGAAAGTTTATAATAAAAAATTATTTTAAATTTTAGAAAAAAAAATCTAAGTGTTAAAAATAAAGGGAATAGACTCGGATTTAGGTAATCCGAGTCCTTTTGTACTTATTCTCGGATTTGAAAAATCTGAGTTGTTTAGAAAATGATAACTTTCGGATTTGTATTCACCCGGGTAGTGCCCATACCGACACAAGGCACATTAAACTAAACCCTAAACTCTAAAATCCAACGTTTTGAACTAAATCGAATATTAAAAACTTAATTGTTAGTTAAATTTGGATTTTTGAAATCTGAGTTTAAAACTAAAATCGGATTTGAGAAATCCGTAACTAAACCATAAACCCTAAAAGTCGGATTTTAGAAATCCGAGTTTAAGCGAAACTCGGATTTTTGAAATCCGAGTTTCAGCTAATCTCGGATTCTTGTAATCCGAGTTTGAGATAAACTCGGATTTGGGAAATCCGAAACTAAACCCTAAACCCTAAACCCTATGGCATGATTTTGAAAATCTAATTTTTTGCTTAAAGTACATTACACTAGCACAGATGAATTAATAATAATATGTAATGATTAACAGATTTAATAGTAATAAGTAAAACTAGTACCAATGATATATAGTGGGTAATGATATTAATGTACTACATAGTACAGGTACGTATAAATAGTATATAGCATTAGTACACATGAATTATAGTGAATTAATAATAATATCTAATAACTAACAGATATAATAGTAATAAGTAACGTTAGTATCAGTGATTGGGTAATAGTATTAATGTACTACATAATACTAGTATGTAAAAAAAGTACATAACACTAGTACATATAAATTATACGGAATTAATGATAATATCTAATGACTAACAGATTTAACAGTAATAAGTAACACTAGTGCTACTGATGTATATTGGGTAATAGTATTAATGTACTATATAATACTAGTACGTATAAAAAGTACATAACACTAGTACATATGAATTATACTGAATTAATGATAATATCTAATGACTAACAGATTTAACAGTAATAAGTTATACTAGTACCAATAATGTATAGTGAGTAATAGTTATTAATGTACTACATAATATCAATACGTATAAAAAGTACATAATACTAGTATATATGAATTATACTGAATTAATGATAATATTTAATGACTAACAGATTTAACAGTAATAAGTAACGCTAGTACAACGATGTATAATGGGTAATAGTATTAATGTACAACATAATACTAGTACGTACAGATAGTACAAAACACTACATAACACTAGTAATATATATTTTTCATCAATTATACTGAATTAATTTAATTCAAATTCTTACAAAATTTAATAATACTACGTAACATTAGTAATATATATTTTTCATTAATTTAATATAAATTCCTAGTAATTATTAGTAATAAAAGATTTTATTAATATCATATCTAATACAATATTTTTTTTATTTTTTATTTTTTTAAAAGTGGATATATCAATTTAATGCGAATTTTTATCAAAACTCGATTTTTTTTTTATCAAAACTCGAATTTTTAAAGTTATTTTGCACTAAAAGGTTTTTTTTTTTAAAAAAAGGTAGTTCAGATTTCCAAAATCCGATTTCACTGTTTATTTATTAATTTTTAAACTTTCCCACTATAAATAAAATTTTAAATTTTCCCGCCCTTCAGTTTTTTTAAAAAAAAATTATGTTGGGGAAGCTCTTGGATTTCGGAAATCTAAGTTTACTGTACACATTTTGACCTTGGTTCTTTTTTTTTTCAAAATTATAAAAAAAAATAATTATTATTTTATATTGATTCGGATTTCCGAAATCCAAAAGTCCAATTTATTAGACTCTTGGATTTGCCAAATCCGAGACAACTATTTATGTCCACAAAAAAAAAAAAAAAATTTGTCCACATCAATTTTTTTAATTTTTTTAGCCAAAGGACCCTCTAAACTTGTGATATTTTTAAAGAGCCAAAACTCAGAGGTATAGAACTGAAATGAAGTCCCCAATTTGGTATAAATTGTTTCCTCATACTGCGAACCTCAAGATGTTTATTCTGTTTACCTAGGATTGCCGCAGAAACATCTCCCAAGTCCCAAACCTCCACTCACCCTCCCGTTCTACCCGTCATTCCTAAACCCTGCAAAATAGTTTCTATAATAGAGCTTGTTCAAGACTATTTGACCAAAGTTCTTCGTCGAACTTTGTGTGAATACTTGTATGTAACCTAATCTATTATGAAGTTTCTCAATTTTATAAATCTTTTTATACTTTAGAAAAACATTACGGTCATTACTCCCTTCTCGTGCATTTAGCACCCACTTAGTGCAAATCAAATTAAGAATTCATTAACTTTGATACTTTATAAATTGTGATGAGAAAGCATGAACAAGAGAAAGATTGACACCCCCAGTCTATATTTGTTGTTGTCACAGTCATAAACTCTATTTGACCAAGATGGATGAAAGAGAAATGTAGAAGTGGAAGAAAGTAGGTCAAAGCAAATATGTAGACAAAAAGGAAACAATAAGTGGTAGATGAGAAGGAAGAAGATGGAGTAAAATCAAACTTGACCTGCTAAAGATCTTTCAGGAGGAAGTGCAATTTCGCTCTCAGGCAGCTAAATCACTCCTAAGGCGTTATAATCGACCAAATCAACATTTCATCTTTTGTAATAACCTTATACTACTTCCACTTACTCTTATCTGTCACTTTAGGGGTTAAACAACTATTAAGAAAATCATGATTGAAACTTAATTCTAATTGTATTGTCTTTCTTGCCCTTGATTAAAAGTATTGAAACTCAACAACAATTTGAAATGGGAGTGTAAAAGAAAATGTAGTTGTCATTAATATATAGTATTAAAAGTAGAGAAAGATAATTGTGAAATTGGAAAAAAAAAATGTATCTAATATTGCATTGAAAATGAAATACGATAAATAAAAAAAAATTACGTTCACCCTAAGACGAATAAAAATAAATGGAGGTAGTACTTTTGAAATCAAAGAAACTTACAACAGTACAGGATTACAAGTTACTGTGGCTTTCACCAACCTACGAACATTCTCTACCAAAGACCTAGGTACATTTTCTAAAAAAGCAAACATATGAGTTGGTGCAATAGGTCAAATGTTATCACTTATATTTTGAACGTATAGACCTAGGTACTTTTTCTAAAAAAGCAAACATATGAGTTTGTGCAATAGATCAAATGTTATCACTTATATTTTGAACGTGGAAAGGGACAACATTGTTCTTCTGTAAGGTGCCTGCTACCGTCGAGTTTGTGAGGGCTACTTTGATAAAATGTGTTCTGGAGCCGACAGGGCTTTACTCTGTCATTTGAATTTGCCCTTTTTGCCATTCGAAATAGACTAGACCAGCCCGATTACGGTCTCAGAAATTCACCCAAAATTGGTGAGCTCTTACCTACAACAAATGTCAGGAGAAATGAAAACTTCGGCCTCTTCACTCTGTCAAGTGACTATTTTCATTCTCCCAAGTGACAATCTGTTCAATTAGTTCTTTTCTTTTCTGCATTTTAAGTTTATTCAATAAGTTTATTATTAATTTAGAAGTTAATGCAAGTGTAAATTTTAAATGAACTTAATAATTACAAGTTATTTATGAGTTATTGTTTAGAAGTTACACTTAATTATAGGTTTTTGGTGAGACGATTTTTGTGATGATTGTCGTTGGAATCGCTTCCCAGAAGAATTACTTATAAACCTACTTAAAACTATTAGCTAGTGGTAAGTAGGGTCGTTCCACAGGAACGACAGTCAATAGCTCAAAATCTGATTAAAATGCAGAAAAAAAAGAACTAGTTGAACAGATTGTCACTTAGGAGAGTGAGAATAGTCACTTGACAGAGTGAAGAGGCAGAAGGGTCAATCACCTTCCTACCTTTATGATCCAATATTCCTGTAGTGTATGATTAGTTGTTCGGTCATGCACTTATATATCTTTATAATTCCTTCCAGATAGAATAAAGAGTCCTAGATGATCAAACTATTCAGAGTGCTATTTAATCTAAGCCATGAAGTTCTTAAGCCCTTATTGATCGCCTATGTCATCACCTAACTGCCGTCGGTGTATGAAACCAAAGGGGTCGATTTTCTCCTTTGTCATAGACTAGATTAAGCAGTTCTAAGGTTATGCGCCCCCTTCCAGATCTTCATAACCATGCAAGCACTTTTAATTAATTGATCAAGTTAACTAAACGGTTAATTAAATCACTTATCTAGGCACAACACCTCATCAAGGAAACTGAATCAAAACCTTTACATAAAGATAGTAGGGATTGAACCCTTAACTGAGTTAGCTACTCATACTTATTGAATTAAGCATGAGAGCAACAGAGTACAAAAGATAGGACATGAATCCAAATCAAAAGGTTTGAGGAAAGAAAGGGAAGATGGTAGCAGGGACAGTTCTACCTGCTCACTATGGCGAGTGGCATCCGCCACTTGACAGAGTGACAATCTGTCTTGTTCCTGCTACTACCTTGTTTCTAACCAACTAACTACCTAACTACTGTCTTTTAGACTAAATCTAACTATCCAATCTGTTCTTTTTCTAACTGCTATTAGCTGGCTATTTTCTAAATGCAGCACACGGAAGGTGCTACATTTATTGTAGGTTAAGCTGATTGAGATACAAAATTGGACGCAGACACCATAATGGCCTGAGCCCGTGGTACATGTAGAACTAACACTAGGGAAAACCTACGCATTATATTCCGGATGTCATTCACTAGAAATCTAATTTCCAAAGGTACCTCGAACTGATTCTGCAGGATTTTGGAGAGTACGAGGCAATCGGTGTAAAACCGTAAGCATGGATGATAATCCAGATCGACTGATCGTAATGCCAACAGGCATGCCATAGCTTTCGTTTGCAAAGGAGACATCGCCATATATGAGCTTGTACCAGAGAAAATAGTCTGACCATCATGACTCTTCAAAGTCCAGCTCCCAGTAGCTATAAAGGTGTTGTCTTCAACTGTTCTTCTAAAACAAAGTACAGGTAAATGAAGCCAAGTTGTTAAAAGGACAGATGTTGCAGTACCCTCAAACCTGTGATCACTATAAGACTAGTTACGTTGAGATGTTGCCTGAGTATACTTAATCCATTTTTGGTGTGCTTACTGTACAATCTGGTCAGGAGCAGGCAAAGACAGATCACCATATATAACTGCATTCCTGTCCTTCCAAATTTCCCATAGAAGGAACATCGAACTACAACAGAGATCTTTAGATGGAGCTTTCAGCGTCCAATCCACAAACCATACCTCAAAAGTCATTTTGGTTGTCCCCGAGAAATCAAAGCCAAATGGAGAGCAATGCCAAATGGTTTGAGATCGAGGACATTCCAAAAGCATGTGTGCAGCGGACTCAGATTCCTCCTCACATCTTAAACAGACACCTGCTGAAACAATTGATCGAGTGGCTAAGGCTTGCATCGTCGGACAGGCTCTTAACAGAACTCGCCAAAAGAAAATTTTGATCTTCTCCGGCAAAGCTGCATTCCATAATTTTTTCCAAATAGCTGGGGGAATGAGTTGACCACCCTGAGACGTCGATGGTGTTGTGGTGGAATGCACATTAATATTTGTTGCTTGATGGTATCCCGATCTAACTATGTACTTCCCCAGTGGATCCAAGCTCCAGTACAGAGTATCAACATTGGCTTGTGATTCACATGGCAAGTAAATGCTTAAGATATTAGGGAGAAGATGGTCTGGAAAAAGTGTTCGCAAAAGAGGATGTTGCCATCCTTCCTGTGGATGTAAAAGATCAGTAACCAGTTGTATAGAACTCCGAATTGTGGCTGGATTAAATGCCAGAGGATTGTGAGATTTCGGAATCCAATTGTCCGTGATACGAATTTGTCTGCCATTCACAACTTGCCATTTCAAACCCATCTTGAGAAGATCACTTCTCCATAAAACACCTTGACATCCCCATGTAGCTGTCTTCCCTGGTTGGACAATGAGAAATTCATCTCTACAGCACTATTTTGCCCGATACAATCGTGAAAGAAGACTCTATGGAGTCTGTAGAATTCGCCAAGCAATCCGGCCTAGCAAAGCATGATTCATTTGTGCTACAGATCTTATTCCTAGCCTGCCATGAAAGCGGGATTTACAAACAGTCCGCCAAGATTTCCAGTGAAGTTTGTAGCCCTCTACATCTCCCTGCCATATAAACTGAGCAAGTTGTTGATCAATGCAGCGAGTAATGGATGCCGGAAGTCTGAATATGGCTATGGCATACTGGGGGAGTGCGGCTAACACATGTCGAGCTACAGTGACCCGGCCAATGGTTGAAAGTGATTATGTCCGGTACATTGCGATTCTGTTTTGTATTTTCTATGGAATGTCAGCAAAAATGCACCGTCTAGGTTGATCAAAATTAATTGGCATGCCAAGATATCTGCTCCCCACGAAAGTGATCTCTATATGAAGTATTGAACGTAGCCATACGCCAAACTGAGGACGAATATTTGGACTGAACGTGAGTGCTGACTTATCAAAGTTAATCCGCTAGCCCGAGTCGAGCATAGCCATCAATAATTCAAGGCAGTAGGTAGAAGGTGGACTCTTTCGCAGTAGAGAATAGCAAGCAATCATCGGCGAACATAAGGCGGGAAATACACGGAGCTCGACGTGCTATTTGAATTCCAATGCCAGTTCGACGCCCTTGATAGTACTGAAGAATAGACGAGAATGGTTGCTGAGCAATAATAAATAAAAAAGGCGATAGAGGGCAACCTTGTCGCAGGTCCCCAGATAGCTGAAAATATGGAGACTGCATGCCGTTAAACCTTACTGCAAAGGATACCGTTTCAACACATTGCCGAATGTATGCAATCCATTTCATTGGAACGCCCATCCGTTGAAGAACCTCATATAAAAATGGCCAAGAGACTCGGTCGTAGGCCTTGCTCATGTCGACTTTCACTGTAGCCAAACCTGTTTTTGGTTTTTTTTTTTTTGCGCCGACGAATGGATTCCAGCATCTCATGTGCTAATAAGAAATTTTCATTGATAGAATGATTTGGTACAAAACCAGCTTGTGAATCAGTGATCAAGGTAGGCAGAAGGGGCCGTACTTTTGCAGCCAAAATCTTTGCAATCAGCTTGTACTTGACGTTGCATAAGCTAATAGGTCAAAAATCGGCCGAAATTCGGGGCTGATGAACTTTTGGAATAAGGACTAAAACAGTATGATTTCATTCCTCATCCATATTAATAGAAGAAAAGAATTGTAGCACCGCACTTATCAAGGAATCTTTTACCTCACTCCAATAATGTTGGAAGAAGCCTGCTGGCATACCGTTAGGTCCCGAGGCCTTCCACGGATACATTTGAAACAAGGCGTCTTGAATTTCTTGAGGAGTGATTGGTTGCTCCAACATCCTTTGCTGGTCTGTAGTGAGAGTAGGAAGCCCTTGGAGTAGCTCTGTAAGATCCACTTGGGAGTTCTGGAAGTACGGATATGGTGCTGGTGAAGGATACAAATCTGGTTGCGTGTAAATATCACGAAAATGTGTTGTGATCATTCAGAGTAAAACACAAGGGTTGCCTTCCCATTCTCCATCCGAGTTTTGCAGCTTCGTGATCTAATTCTGACCTTGTCGGCGAGTCACCCAATGGTGAAACAGTAAAGTATTTTGGTCCCCAGCTACACTCCAAGAAATATGGGCCCGTTGCTTCCAATATTCTTCCTGAAAATTTAACAAACGATCCAATTCCAAGCGCAAATTTTGATCTTGCTGGATTGCATTAGAGGCAAGTGAGGAAGCTTCCTGACAAAGTTGCTACTGTATCTTATCAAGATTTTGTTGGAGGACTTGGATGCAGTAGTCTAGCACTTGATATGATCTGTTGTGCCAATTTCGGATATGCAACAATGTTCCAGATAAGTGTGCCAACAAATCTTGCATCGGTGAAACAGGGGATGGCTGAATTTTCCAAGACCGTACCATAATGTTAATGGCTGTTGGATCTTTGCTCCAAAACGATTCAAACCGTGGATTGGAGTCAACTTCTTAGGGTGGTATCGGGTATCCACAAGCATTGATCCGTGATCGGACCGCATAATTGAAAGATTTCGCAGTAAAGCAAGAGGACACAACATAAACCATAGATTGGATGCCAATGTGTGATCCAAACTCTCATAGATATGAGAACTGGGACTACGATTATTAGTCCACGTATACCAGACCCCCCTATGCTTTAATTCAGTTAAGCCCAAGTGGTTTGTAAGATTTAACAGTGAAGAAGCTTGGCCTTGTTGAAACATCCTTCCCCCCTTTTATCAGCTGATGATAAAATTTGGTTGAAATCTCTGACAAATAGCACAGGGTAATCCAAAGGTGCAATTACATTACTTATTTGCTGCCATACAGTGGGTCTATTTACAACAGAAGGTGAACCATACACAAACACAAGAAGCCATTGTAAGGCATTCTGTTCCACAACCTTACATCAGACAAAATGCTGAGATTTGATAACAAGCTGCATATGTACAAAGGATGACCAAACCATAACCAGACCACCAGCAATACCTTGTGGAGGAACAACTTCTATATTTACAAACTCGGTGGATTGCTGCCAAACACGGATACGCGATTGGGAGCACCGAGTTTTCATAAAAAAAGGACATGTGGATGATAAGTTGCAGTTAGGCGGTGCAAGAGACGAATTGTAGGGAGCTGTCCAAAGCCCCTACAATTCCAACACATTAACTCATGGTTGGGAGGGCAGCTGCTCAGTGCCAGTTGCCGGAACCCGTGGAGAAGAGGGTTTAGAAGTCGGCTGAACCAAGGACTCAAAATACCGTTGTGACTCCAGTGAAAGACGGACATCGAGCGTGGAGGGCAGTCGGGGTCGCTTTACTCCAGACGAAGTTTGATTCTCTATACCAGTTGGGGTTGAACCATGCTTAGTGCCAAGCATTGAAGGTCTTAGAGGTAATGAATCTGGATTTATTTCCCGGATTGTGATTCCTCGAGTAGTTACACGCCGATCAGCTGGCGGCGATTTGGATTTCTTCCTACATGGTGATTCCTACAAATTGCAGGGCCTCTTTCCACGGCGGATCTCGCTGCAAAGGCGGCGAATCGGGGTGGGGAAGTCTTTCTCTGACGTGAGGTGTGAAGGAGGATCGTCATCAGAAGCATTGGTGGATGGAGCACCAGTCGAGGAAGGAGTAGAATCCGATAGCGGATCTGGTACCCAGCAATCTTCATGGAGGATATGAGAGGTAACTCCCATATTTGGTTGACCAGAAAGAGGATATAGAGACAATTGTTCTAGCAGTACATCCGGAGCCATTCGATTGCGGGGTAAAGGATCTACCAAATTAGAGTTGGATATGCCTATGGAGGATGGCCAGGTTCGAAGTCATGGCCAGATTGATTTGGACCAGTGTTGGTCTAATGATGGTTCACCAGGAAAAAGAGTTTGGGCCTATTGTATTGAGGGAGGTTGGCCTTGGAAATGGGCCAGATCTGGTTCAGTGAGTAGTCGAGCTGCTGCAGCCTCAAGAAACCAGAGTGGACCCTTTAACCAAGGCCCAATTTTAAGAGGAGATGAGTCAACATCAATTGCTGGTTCTGTATCATCAGCTGGCGAGAGGGAGATGCTGATATCCATCGCTTCAGTATCAATCAGCACCGGTGAATTAGTGGGTACACATCCATCGTCAACCGGACTGTTAGAGCTCTCTGATGATGAAGATACTGGAGGAGGACCATCTGTCAATTGAAACTCCCATTCTATGGGTTGTTGCAGTGAAAGAGGAAGTGGGTGGACCGGATACGGTAGAGCTTCAGCGGGGAGTGCATCACGTTCCTCCCAAAATTCAAACTCAAAGCCATCTGGGAAGTTTTCAGCACCAGCTTCCGCCAGGAATTGGTGGTTAGCAGTCACATATGACGGCAGAATAAAGGTGGATCTGCAGTGTTGTTGATGTGCAAAGGCCCGCATGTATGCTGGGAACATATCATCTGCTTCTCCATGGAAGAGGAGAAGGTTATGGAGGCGAGCAATTCATTGAGATTGAAGCTCGATACGTTGTTCTAGGATTTCTTGCTCTTGATGTGGGCATCGCATCAGAGGATGGCCCAACAGACCGCACTTATAGCATATTTTGTAGATCCTCTCATATCAACATTTAATCCAGATTAAACGTCCATCAAACAGTTGGAGATAGAAACCCGGCAGTAGTGGCTCGCGTATGTCAATCCATACCCTTGCTCGAAGGAAATGTAATCTCCGATCATTACGAAGACCCTATTGCAGTTCAGCTACTGGACCAACCAGCGAGGCTGCCCCAAATCCGGCATGAACGTTGAAGCACTCTGGCGGTAAGCCACCCAGTCTAACCCACACTAGAGCCCGTGTGACATATGTAAAGGGTAAGGGTGTATACGGTGTCCAACGGCGGACAAGAAGCAGAGCGCCATCTACGGCATATGGCCCATTATGCAATATAGCCCGACGATCTAGGGGATTTGCACACTGAATCACGTAGAAATTCCGGTAGTGGCTCAAAAGTTGTGCTTCAGGGCCCCAGTGAGTATCAAGATATGTTTGCATCCTTTCAAAACTGTAGTGATGGTCATCCGCAAGATAGGCCAAGATGCAATTGGTGCATCATAGTTGGCCTTTAGCAACATTTTCTTCTTGCAAAGCATATCGACGACCTCGTCGGAAAGCCAGATAGAACTGTAAGTCAAACTCTTCGCCGAGGGGAATATCGTGTTCTTTTTCCAAGAATTCCGAAGCATCCGGTGGGGTGGGAGGATAACGACCCTCATATATGCGGAAGGCCATATTATAAGATCAGTAGGATTAAGGGAATGAGAAATTAAAGAAGGCGCATGAGGGCCACGTAGCTAGAGTAGAAGATTAAAAAACAAAACCTAGAGTAATAGGTAGAGGGTAGACCCTAGTGTAATGATGAAAATCGGGTTAAAGTAAAGGATTATATTAGATGAAAAGTGGTCTTGAAACGATGTAGAAACATAGACAGAGCAAAAGAGGTGGAGGATGAAACTTAATTGTGTGGGTTTTGTTTTGGAATTTTTTTTTAATTGTATTATTAATGAGAGGTAATACTAAGTTGAATGGATAGGGATAAGAATATGTGGGTAAAACAAGTGGATATTTATATTTCTACTGAGTGAAGTGAAAAACGAATGCGAAATGTGCACAACCAATGATAACTTTGATATCAGATGTTGGGTTTTGAGACGTAGGTATTCCTAGATGAACAAACATGTTGCTGGAAACTAGAAGCTGCAATTAGTTTGCAGAAACAAGCTCCCTTGTGACGGGAGAGAAATTCTAACCTCTAGGAGTGTAGAAGAATATGAATACTCCAAACAACGTATCCTAACTTCTGATAGGTTACTAAAACTGGGCATAATTCAGCAACCTTTGTTATGTGTGTAATGTCAGCAGGAGGAGGAAAGTCTGGAACATTTGTTCTTTGAATGTCATTACTCTACACAGGTGTTGGAGTTGGTGAAAACCTGGTTGAGATGTAGCAGGATTCCAGGAAGCATCAAGTTGTGGAAATCCAGACTGATTCATATTTGGTGCCAAAGTAAATGTAAACAAAGAACTTTATTTGCTGCAGCAACTGCTGCTGTCTATCATCTTTGGACACTGAGGAATGCAATAATACATAGGGAACAGCTTGTACAGGCCAATGTCTTGGTTGAAAGGATTAAACAGGAGGTGATGTGGCGAGTTCAAGAATGTAGCAAGAAGTATAGGACTAGTGAGAAGATGTATATGTCAGGACTTGGTATTGATGTATAGGATTATATACAACAAAGAATTGGAGTTGATGTAATAGAAGAATATGTGATGTAACTTAGGTAGACTGTTTTGGAAAAGTTAATATATTAACATTTTCATCAAAAAAAAAAAAAGGATTGGGGAACGAGGAGTTTGTTGATGCATGTTTTTGGATGACGAATTTGACAACAAATTTTTGAAGGATTGTTACAGTGAAACTCTTCGCATACACTTTACCATTTTTATTTTTTTATTTATTTATTGGGATCTTTTTGGGGTCTACTTCACTATTTTCATTTTTGTTCTTCAATTTTCTATTATTCTACAAAATTTTAGAAATTAAAGAGAGAGGCCACAAATGAGGCCCAACTTTCTTTGTAAATATCTCGGTGTGGACATTTTGGAACGTGGCATGTAAATGCCAAGAGTTTGAAACAAGAATTCTATCTCTCAGGAATGTGTGATTTGCAGCTCAGAATTATTTAAAAATATTCTTGAATGCTTATTGTCATAGAAAGGTAAAGCTCTTATTGTTTAGGGCAAGTGCTTGAGTTAGTTGAAAAGACACAAACTTTCCAAAAGTAGAACATCAACAAATTAATAATCGATAAATTAATAATTCTTTTCAGTTCCAAGTCGGGACCGGTACAAAAAATAAAGACAATCGATAAAATTATAAGATAATAACTTTTCAAAAAACTCTATATAAATATATGTCCCATCAATATCATAAATTAATAATGACTTAAAATTAAAAATAAAAAAACTGTGAGCTAGTAAAATATGAATCTAGCGATGTCTGTTTTTTTCTTGAAATTTATATCTAAAGAAATTTTATCATTGATTTTTTCCGTAGTATTAAAAAGCTCTGGGATAGTTTTTTCGTACTTCAACAAAAATTTTTGAAGCTTCATTGTTCCTTTAAGTGCTTCCTTTTGTGAGATTGGTTCCAAAGACACTGAATCATCATCATCATTTTCATCCTCAGTTAAATTTTAAGTGACATTAGCTACAATATTGATGAGAATCATGGAGCTTCACATCAAAGTTCTATTCCAATGAAGAAGCAAAAGATGTTCTTATCATTTGGTGGACCGAGATTGTTTCCTTTCAATCTGGAAGAAAGTATGTTGTGAGAAAAAGACCTTCAATGAAGGAATATTCACCTCAACCTCCTAGTAAGCAATGACGAAGAAGAATCATTTAATCATCAAGATCGAGTATCAAAACAATCGAGTGATGACTTTGCTGAAAATTGGAATGATTCAAGTGATAGAAGTTCAAGTGTTGTTGAGATCGTTGCTAACGAGTTTGTTTCAAAGGATAAACGTCATGAAGACATTGAAGATACGCATTCAAATGTGTCGAAGATATCATTGGAGCTTGAGGATTTGAATGGAGCGGTGCGCGCCGAAAGAAGAGGAAGAGCCTCACGAGAACTATTTAAAATATTTATTTAAATTATTGTTGATTTCATAAATAGATAAAATTCTATTTACCTGGAGTTAAATAAGTTAATTTACCATGAGGGTTAATTGTGCTTACACGGCCGGCCCTAGGATGTAAATTAATTAAGTGTATTTGAGTTTTTTGGCTATTAAAAGAAGTAAAGTTAATTACTTTGCTTAATGGTTAATCTAAGTTAGAGTTTGAGTCAAAATTGGCTTCATCTTTCCTTTCTGCGTACTGCATCGAGTAGTAGAAAAGGTAAGTAACATTTTCTTTAGCATTAAGTTTAGGTTTTAAGTCTTTGAGAGCAAAAATGCATGCATATAAATAGGCGGCCGAATTCTCTTTTCAGAATATGGGGAATGAGTCAAACAAAATGAGTTTGTAAACCTTATGGTTTTAATGAAATATCATCATTGGATGGTTTTTGAAAAAATGAGCATTTCTCGTTGTATGGGAGGAGTTGTACGGTTAGTCAATTCTTTCTTTTTTAGGACCTAACGGGACTTGGTCTAAGAGTAGACCGTTTTTATCATGTTGAGCTTTTGAATGATTTAATTGTTTTAAAACTAATCTTCTTATCATCTTTTGTTGTGATAGCCGTGTGGTATTGCCTGTTTGATTGCTTAGTTGCTCGAGTTCTTATGACGTTAGGTTGTAGGAAACCTTGTTGGTTTGTCTATTGATATAGATGAGTTTGCTTGGAAATAACATGATGAATTATGTGTTTTGTATGCTTGTTACCTTGGTTGTGAATGTGTTCTATCTAATATAGTAGTATATTTGATAGTTTGTTGTAATCGAGTGACTAATTTGCTCTTTGCATGTGTCGTCAATATATGGGTAATTTTTTGATTATATTGAATGGTACAATCTATTGTGATTTGGTTGTTCAATCCGAATGGTTATTTGGAATTTGTGTTTATGATCTTTGCTTGAGTTCATAGGATAGTTACCGTGCGCTTAAACGTTTCGTTTATTTGTGAATTTTCCGCACTCTTTTAGACTTTCACTTTTAAACAATCTTTTTCATACTCTCTTGTTGATGGTTCCTTTAACAAAATTTGGTTCGTCTATGAGATTGGTATCTCTGTAGACTCATCATTTTCACTTGAATACTCCAACAAGTGATTGACATCCATTTTATGATGATAACCAAGATCATTAATAATTTTTTCAAACTAGTGAACTCCTTCTTCATAATTTACTTCAGTTGTATCCTGCACCGTAGCTACATCAATTGAACGAATGTTGCAGTGTCGAAAATAATTTGCAATGGCTTCATGTCGTACATCGCTCGTCCAAGATGAAAACACAAGATTGATGGCATCTAAAACATTAATCTTCTCTGGTTGAGATTGCCCTAACTCATAACCTTCCAGTAACTCACGGTAAAATCTCTTGCGAGAATGTACCTTGAAAGTTCTTATGATCCCTACATCACATGGTTGGATTTTTGATGTCATGTTAGGTGGCAAAAAGAATAATTCCACATTGTGTAACCCTTCAACATTTTTTGGGTAGGCTGGACAATTATCTATCACTAACAGTATTTTTCTACCGTCCATCTTTTGGTTTAGCCAACGCACGTATTCATCAAAAAGAACACTCGTCATCCATGCTTTTTTATTTGCACGATATTGATAATTTGAAACAACGTGGCTTTGCATACTTCCCAATAATCCATAGAGAAATTTTCTATGATCCATCTTTATTGTAACAAATTACAACCGTAAGCTTTTCTTTGTCTTTTTTTTTTTCCTTCAAGTTGTTTCGTAGCAAAAGAATGATTAGCTTGCAACCTATTAAAAGAAACTTGTTTCATCCGTATTGAAAACATCATTTTTTTGGAACTGGTTGATTTTTTCCCTTATAAACTCCAACTTTTTCTCCATGTCTTGTTTATCAACCAACCACTTTCTCCAGAGTGATGAAATGACTTAATATGATGTCTTAGTTTGAAGTTTAAAGTTAACCACATAAAATACATCAACTACTTTTTCATAATCTTCGTATATGTCCAAATGAGCCTATTGAATCTGAGTGAAATGAACATTCACTATTATTTTAATGAATAATGATTGGCGGGAGAAAAATTTTACAAGGAAAAATAATCATAATCATCTATTTTTAACATTTTTCATCTAGGGTTTAAGTATTTAAGGTTAGGTGATAGTTTTGATGAGCCTTCGTAAGTTTTTTTTTGCAAGTATCATTATTCTTTTAAGATATATATACAGTCAGGGGTGGCTCTCCCACCAGGCAAAATAGGCAATTGCCTAAGGCCCCAGAATCGGGATGGATATATATATATATATATATATATATTAAATAGTTAGTGTTAATAAATATTGGTAAAAAAAACATAAAATTAATAGAAATAAGCGATTTGTTGAAAATGTGAAGAATGAAACTCTTAAACTCCTCGAGATTTTTAAAACTGGTTATTTTCTTTACGTAATTTTTTTTTAAAAAAATCCATCTTAGTGGACCCCACTTAAATGTAGGTAAAACCCCCTTCCAACTTCTGGTGGGGATTGAACCCTGGTCTATTACCAGGAAGGACATCAACCTCACCACTATCTTCTTTACGTAGTTAACAGAGCTATATATCTAATCACTATAAAGTAGATATATAAATTTTAAAATAGAAGTAAATATTTTTAATTTTCTATTTAGTTTGAAAAAAATTATAAGTACTTGATGACAAAAAATTTTTTAAAAAAATTGTGTTAATCTTCAAAACTCCTTAAAACACAATGATATTTTAGATAATGACGGTTTAGATTTATTTATGAACTAAATTTTTTTTTAACGGATAATGTAAAATGGAGAATAATAATCTAACTGGCATAATTAATTATATTAAAAGATTTAATTCTTTTTTAAATGTTTATATTGCTTATAAGATAATATTAACTATTATTCGTGTAACAACTGGTTCAATAGAAAGAAATATTTCAAAACTTAAATTAATGAAAAATTACTTTAGATCCACAATGTCACAATACATATTAAATGGATTTGCTATTATATTAATAAGAAAAATACTTAGAGATAGTTCATAGAAATTTCATAAGAGAATTTGCAACAAAAAAGGTAGAAAAATAACCTAATATAAATAATATTTTTAAAAAATACTAGAAAGATAAATTTCATATAACCAATATTTGAGAAATTTTTTTTAACTCTGCTTGTTATGGACTCACGGGTTCATAGTTGTCACCGAAAAAATGAGGAGGGTTAAACTTTTTTTTTTTTAGTTTCTTTATTATCAAAAAGCCTCGAATTCAGAACTCGTCTTAGACCCCAAAAAACGTTGAGCCACCCCTGTATACAGTATACTTTTTATATACTCAAAATGTATTGTACTAAAATTTTATTAGAATATATGCAATAAAATGGATTGGCAAGAAGAAACGAACATAAAGAAAAGTGGTGTGAGCATTTATTTTTCCCCTTTGAAGGATGTATGACTAGAATTTAGAACAAGAAAATCTATTATTATTATTTCCGTCCAAAAAAGTTGTTAACTCATTTTCATTTTTAACCTTTTTCCAGGCCACCATAGTATTATTTTTTCTTTTCCCTATTATATCCTTTCCAAAAAAGTAACGGATGATTGATAATTCACTTTTCTGTTTTTTTTTGGGCTGCACACGTGCGTATCAGTGTGTGTATGCGCGTGAGAGAGATAATGAAACAGTAGTGGAAGAAGAACAGAGCTTGGGATTTTTCTAATTTCCATGGTGAACGTAAGGAATACGTAAGTAACGATCACATACAGATTGGAGACTGTGATTTATGGCGGCGATCCCCAAGCCAATGAAGGCGCGCGCGCACCGTCGCGACGACGACGACGACGATGATGAGGACGACGGCGGCCGCGATGACGTCACGGATGACGCCGACGAGTTTCGTTTCAGCTCGCTGGGTAGTTATCGTTTCCAGTGTCGCCGCTGCCACCGTGAAGGAGGTGGAAGTGTTGAAGTGGTGGCGCCAAGGACTAGTGAGCTTTCTCTTGCTTTCGAAGGTGAAGTGTACGTTTTCCCTGCTGTCACTCCTGAAAAGGTAGCTCTCTCTTTGAGATTTTATCTGTTTTTCCAATTGCAACTAGTTTTTTTTTTTTGGTTAGCTTAATGATCGATTATACTTCGATTGATGCGGAAGTTTGTTTAATTTGATTGCTGTTCTCTGTTTTTGATCAATTAAAATGTGATTTTCACTGTACACTGTAATAACAGGTGCAAGCAGTTTTGTTGCTTTTGGGTAGTGGGGACTCACCTATGGCTCTCCCTCGCACTCATGTCGCATACGATTCAACTAACAAGGTAGTTTCATAAGCAAACGTTTTCCTTTTACAAAACATGATCAAGTCAATGTCCATTTTTTATTACAGATTTGATTAATGTTTTAAATTGAATAATAACCTTTCAGTATATTGATGATACACCTAAGCGTTCCAATTTATCACAAAGGGTAGCCTCTCTGGTAAGGTTTCGTGAGAAAAGGAAGGAGAGATGCTTTGACAAGAAAATTAGGTACAGCGTTCGCAAAGAAGTTGCTCAAAGGTTAGATCACACTTATCTTCTTTTTCGGTTGTGGAATTGTGTTTTGGTTAATGTTACATTTACTTTATTGGAAGCAGTTGTCCCTGAGTTTCCATCATTTGCTTCACTAGCTCCATACATGTGGTTGCACATCTCATTTTCCATTCATGTAACTTGACCTTGCATCTCTACCAGAATGCATCGCAAGAATGGTCAGTTTGCATCAGTCAGAGAAGGTTCCGAATCATCCATTTGGGACACGCCAAAGGCTAGCCCCCAGGGAGATAATACATCTCTTCCAGGAGCTGCGTGAGTTATATATCATCTTAATATAGATTCTTCACTAGTCTTTGAAACTGGCTGGTTCTTTCTCTTCCTAAAACTAGTTGCTGCTCAATTCTGCTAATTTAGTCTCCGAAGGTGTCACCATTGCGGCGTGGCTGAGAGTTCTACTCCAGCGATGCGGCGTGGTCCTGCAGGACCAAGAACTCTATGCAATGCATGTGGGCTTATGTGGGCAAACAAGGTGTCCAGAACCTTCTTTCGGAATTTATTTCTTTTTTTTTTACTATTTTATCTTTTCTGAAATCTGCCAGAATTTTGTTTTATAAGCTTTCATTTCAGCAGTCTTAATTCTTGCAAGGCGTTAAAGATGAAAAAGGAATGTTTTTCTATATGCAAATTGGTTAAACCATCCATGTCCTGACTGTGATGTTTGCTTTAATAAGGTTTTCTATTAATTTGTGTGTTCTCGGTGACTGATTGTGCGTGGGTGTGTATGCGCACTTGTGGCATGTAAAAGATGCATTCAGAACTTCAGTGGACAAGAATATATAATGCCTTTAGTTTTGAGGTTGCACCATCTTGTTTAACGTAGTCCTTTATGACTCCCTTAGGTTACTATTGCTTATCTTTTTTAGTTCCTTTGTGGTTCTGCTAAACTTTTTACATAATTTTGGTGTTCAACTTTGGTTGTTTTAAGTGCTTTTTGACCTTGCTTGAATAGGGAACACTAAGAGATCTTAGCAAGGGAGGCAGGAGTAGTTCCTTGCAGGCAGCGGAACCAGTATGTTTTCTTGACCATTGACCTGATAACCAATTTATTGTCTTCAGGTGTGAGATAAATATTCTGTCATATCAATTATGTGACAATCTTGAATTATTGATACTACATGCAGATGATACCAAACGACCTGAAGCCTTCAGTCCTTCAGGCCAAAGTACCTGGCAAACCGGATAAACACGTGTGTGTTGTTTGGCTGTGAAGCAGATAATGAGCACAATGCTTCTTGTTTCTAATGGTTCTTGTGTTAAAATGCAGACCACTACCTCCAAGTCTATGGTGAAGGGAATTGATAATCATCCTGCCAGACCAAATAAAAGAGTATACTCTTTTTCTGTGCCGGTGAAGAACTGTTTTTATGATTGTATATACTTTACTGACTCTGTAGTTTTAGATATGATTAATGTAGGAAAAGCGATTTTTATTTAGTTTCATTGAGCAAATCATCCAGTCACTGACTTATTTTAGATATATTTTCCTGTGTAATGATTGTAACTGTCTTGGAAATATTTTAGTTGTAGGAGCTCCTTTCAAGTATCATCATAGTTATCATGGATTGTCATACAGTACCTTGCCTTTCGTGCAGATTCTTTGTGAAGCTCGTGAAGTCCTTGAAAGCGATATACCCATGGGGATCGTGCCTTATTCGGTTGACCTTGATGAGCAGGTAGTTTTGTCGTTCACCTTAGGCTCTCAACTCTTTCCCAGCATGCTGTGTCATAGTTGTAGACTGCACTTTTCATCATTGATTTGTCTGCACTGCAGGAAGCTTTGGTTGACTATGCAAATACCTCAGAGACAGAAGTAGATATTCCCTCCAGCTTTGATTGAGAAGGATCAAGTAGTCTCGCTGTGGGTGCACCAATAAGTTAGCTTCTTGGGACATTGTTTGTTCACTTATGAAGGAATTGTTACTTGTTAGTGGATGGGATGCATCTTAACCAGTGTCGCTGGAGATTGTATATAGTACAGTGTGTTGTTAATACATATACACGATAAGGATTCTGTTTGTACCATGTTCATGTGTATATTATAGGTCAGTTGTTAGTTTACCTGTAAAAAATTGGCTAAAGATGCTTCTTGGTTAGACCCTTTTTTAATCTGATGAAGTTTCATAGAATCAATAGCAGTGTATAACGCTTTCGTGGAATTGTGAATTTACTTGATTATGATCATTATCAGTGTTTTAGTCTTATGACCATGACCAGTGTAGTAGTTCTTCCTGGAATCACGATTTTACTCGAGCACGATTTATTATAAGTTCTGCACCCTTTGAAGTTTTTGTTAATTAGTCTAGACTGGATATCTAGGAAAAAATTTTCCCACATTCAAGCACAAATCTTCATCCTGTAAATAAGAGCTACAGTAAAATCGTGTTGTAGGCTACAGTTTCTTATCTGTTGTGACAACAAAACTAAAAGCTTTACTCACCGGTGATACTCAAAGTAACAGTGAACAATGCATGGATGGTTTAAAACCAGAATCCATGTCCTAGATTGGAAACAACGGGGGACTGGAACTTCACTTTATTTCTTTCCAATTTCGAATTCCGTAATATGTACATCCTCAGAACCACCTTATTCAGTCTGCTACTAAGCAGATCAGAAAAGGCATTCAAATCTATGGACTCTTAAGAGCCAAAATCTAATGTGCTCTATTCTCAATTGTCTTCTTTCTTTCTGTCTCTTTCTTTTTTCTAATTTGTACGCTACTGTTGCAAAAACAGTGATTCCCCCTTCCCAAGCTACAATTTACATCCTTGCAGAAGGAGGTCCACGGGTATACTCCATCTTGGTGAATTTTCAGTCCTTCATGTGGCTCCCTGACAATATGTATGGAGCTTTTTTTTCCCAGGACAATGGATTTGTCTCCGGATCTCCGGAGCCAGTCTTCAAATAGTTATGGATCTGAAAGGTCAAAATTTACGTTATCTTGTTGGCCAGAGAAGACTAAAATCAGATACAATCCCTGCTACTCGTTGGAATCCTCATATGGTGAAGATTCACTTGAAGAATCAGTATCAAATGTTGTCATTTCTCTCGGTGACGAGGGAAGCGAGTCTCTCTGCTGAGAAGTTGCACCTGATGGAAAAAGACAGAATAAACTGTAAGTTGTCAAAAATCTCTCCTTTCTTTTCTTTTTCTTTAGTTTATTTTTACACATCCCTTTCTTAAACGTCAAACCTTACTTTCAAAAGCCACGGAAAGATACAACACACAATTTTCCGCTTTTACAGATCTGGTTTTGAAACAATCAATTATCTACCAACATTGATGGGAAAAAAAACAAAAAAAGGGAAGTGTGAAGCTCAGTTACGATGTTTCTTAAGTTAAAAGATGGGAAGGAAAAAGAGACATTTGCTTCAACATTCAACACACTAGTTTCAGGTCTACAGAAAGAGAAAAGGTTGATAGATTTGACATGCCAATTTTAGAAATATGCCCAAGAACGAACTTAGGAGAACCTACTGAAAGAAAGGTTTGAGCTCACAGAGTCATATCTGACTGCATTCCCAAAAGCAGAATAAATAAGGAAAGCTAAAATACAAAACCAGATAAGACCAAACTCTAAAGGTACCAAAAGAATACAACCATTAAGTATTAACGGAGAGAAAGTGAAAATACTGAAATCATACTAACCTTTCTGTCCCCGAGAGCGGAACTTCTTTGTGTGCCTTCTAATTAATCTCTTTGCTTTGGTAATTGTTAGCTGTCTAGCAAAGGGTGAGAATTCTGCTTCACTTTCACTCCAATCCGCATGCGACTCATTATCTGCTTCTCCCCTCATTGTCCGTAGGACAAAAGCCTTTGCCTTTCGGCGCTGAGAATTAAAAAGACCCCTTATGGAAGTGACAAACCCATCCCCTGCTCCATCACTGGGACGTTTGGGCCAAGATAATGGATAGGGATTTGACTTCCCAGCTGATCCCCCATCGCTGTCACTAAAATTAAGATCGATATCAGGAACGCTGGCAGCCGTGACTTCTTTCTGACTTGGTGCCTTGTCTTTAAACTTCTTTCCCTGCACAGTCAAACAGTAACTCAAATGTTTATTTTGTCATTTCCTAAGTATGGTAACATCGCCAACACTCCACAAGAAGTAGAAAAGGATAATTAGACAAAGTAGCGCGTGGAGAACAACAATGTATACCTGCATCCCTGTGACGGACTTGAGGACTCCCCAGATGATATGTTTTTTAACCCTGGAGAATAGCCGCCTCCAGGTGCCAGTGAATTCAACTCGATGAAAAGTATCCATAAGCAACCGTAAATCACTCACAGCAAATCTCGATCCTTCATACGTAACCAGAAGCTCAACCTATCCCATAAAAATGTAATAGATATAAGCACAAGCACACGACTATTCTGGCTATGTAAAAGTAAACTCCAACAAAACAAACCTGACTTATTTTGATATTGTTGAACTCTCTGAGTCTTCGAGGTCTAGATCTCTTGTCCTCTGGTGCTTTTCCTACCTTTTTCTCCTCATGAGAGGATCGTCCAGGTTTCACAGTCTTGGCATCTCGGTTCTTGTTTTTATGCTGTTCATCTGAAATTTCATCATTAGCAAAGGAACCAGTTTTCAAAGACGAGATACTCGGAGAATGAGCCTGTAGCACAAGTTCATTAGCCACAGATTCTGCCAGAGATTCTTCCCATGTTTTATCAAAGGAAGATGTTCGTCTGAGCTCTGGAGTTGATCCACACATGATATTTGCTTTGAGATTCTGCAATTTTGATGGCTGCGCACATACATGATGACCCAAGGATAATCAGAAAGAAAAGTTATAATAAATTGCAGTAAAGTGAAAATGATCACTAGAAATGATTGCCCAAGATAGAAGGACCGGATTCTCACTTGCGAAGGATCAACGTTAACAGACAAGTTGGTCGCTGAAGATACTGGTAATGTAGATGTACTTGATTTGGTGACTACATCAGAATCTTTTGTTGAACTGTTTGGCGCCAAAGCATCATGAGATGATAATCCTTTTTTCACTCGTCTAGAACCAGCAGTAGTAGAAACCTTCCAAACTTCCTACACAGACCAAAGAAGTGGCTAGTCATTTTCCTTTCTATGCCTAGATATTGAATGACACTGCATTCCCATATATACTAGACCTTTAAACTGACCTGACGCCTTTGGGAATCCTGTTCTTCCTCAGGAAAGAAGTACTCCCACATCATTCTGTACATTGTCTCAGTCAAGTGAATTTTTAAGGGGTAGATCTCCACCTACAGATAAGCGAGGCAATTTTCAGCGACTGACTACAAATCATCTCATACAAAGAAGAAACCGGTTATGGTACCAAACTATTTATATTCCCAGCCAAAGAGGTATAACATCAGTGAGAGCATATTAGCGGCTTCAAATATTCTAGTTACAAATACTCCCTCCGTTCCAAATTAAATGTCGTTTTAGCAAAATGGAAAAATTTCAAAATAAGTGTCGTTCTCACATTTCAATGCACTTTTTGTCCAAAGTTTCCAAAATTATCCTTGAAAGAATTAATATTATTGGTGGATATTTTTTTAATGGGGTTGGTTGAGGATATTCAAGTAATTTTATTACCCTATTTAAGAGTTTCTTAAACTATGTGCAAAGTGTAGAATGACACTTATTTTGGAATGGAGGGAGTAACACTTAATAATTCATACGGTGCAACATCCTACAATTCAAAGATATGATTGCCTGTCAACTCAGTTCCCATTTTATAGCTTTTCAGGTACAATCCATATCTCATCACTCACACAAAATTACACCCCGCCTTTTTCTTTCTTATAGAAACAGTAAATTTTACTCCATCAGTAAATGGAATTTTCTGTTACACTTGATAACAGATCCTTATCCAGATACAAATAAAAACAAATACAAAAAGACAAGCTGTTTCACAGAGAAGACAGAATGCTACTTTTAGGTGTTCCCCATCAGTAGCATTAATTCAGTCATCTTGACATCCTTAACTTTTCTTCGAGGTGGTCAAATGCTTATAAGAGAAGTCACTGGCTTGAGATAAATAATAAATACTTGCAGCATACAATTTCTACCAAGAGTAAAACAGACTTCAGTTGGGTTCTCATAATAATATGCTTTATCTGAGCAAATTAACTCCAAAGGACAGGCACTTCTACATGTCATGCCTTACAATCAGACATCTAATCTCCATGTGGTATAATAGAGATTGCCTATCCAGATCTCCGAACCCACCAACCCACCATATCAAGAAAAATGAAGACAACAAAGAATAGAGAGGTGTTTGTTTTTTCCCCCTTACTTGAAATTAAGCCTAAAGCTGGGTTAGTGGACTTATATAAATGCCTCAGATGGTAGTTATCAGTTAAAAAAATTAAATACTCAAAACTTGTTCTCTCCTTACGTTTTTAGCACACTCATGGAGCTGCCTTGCCCATAGTGTTCAAACTTCCACATAAAGATATCAGTAACCCAGATCCTCGGCATTAATTACCTGAAATAGTTCAAGAGGAGAGTTCCCCTCTTTTGGAGCACCTTGCTTTGCGTCCACCCGAAGCATCACTTTTCTGAGGGAAAGAGTGTAAATTAATCAATTGACATGAAAGCAGAATCAATGATCAGATAGATATATACATATATATATGTATATATATATATATATATATATAAATATGAAAGAGAGAGAAAAGCATATAGCAAAATTGAAACACACTACACGTTGCCAAAGTTACTTTCTTTTTTTTTTTTTTTTTTTGAATGTTAAACAAGATCAATTTACTGCTAAATTTCTCCACAGGCTTTGCCAAGCATCATGAACTAAGCTCATTTGAAAAAGAAAATAAAGAAAAAATTTGCGCTTACATCTCTTTTATCCATTCCCAGTAACATGTCAGCTAAAGAAGCATAGTGACAATAATTAGAATAATTTTTCTTGATTATTTTAAAAATATCTGTTCAAAGATTGGAGGCTAGAATCATATGTTATCTTAAAGACAGCTCTTCCATAAAATCGAATGGCCCTTAAGATCAGCTAAATGTGCAGAACTTTTACCCCAAAACTTCCTTGGGAGTAAAATAAATTAATTTGAATGGAAAACATAATTTCACAATGCTTGGTCAAAAGATGAACCACAAAGCAAACCTTCATGCCATATTGATTAGCAATGAAAAACTGTTTTTGACTCCACATACGTCCAATAAATACTTTGAAACTAATACATGTAGATACATGATCCCAGACCAACTTCCCTCAACCCAGCCAATAAAGGCAGCCTATAATAAATAGAACCACCCCCATCATTTTTGGGACCCCAACTTTATTTGCTGATCTTAGAAAAACTTAAAACACATTCACCCAACAACAAGCTCCCAGAAAACCCACATTGCTGCTCCCAAAAAATGAAAATTGTTCCTCAAAGATAGAAGAAGACTAGCTTTTGTCAACCTTAAGAGAAACCTGATACACATGGTAAACTGTGCCTGATCTAGATAGACAACTTACACAATTTAAACTAAAAAAAAACCTGTAATGTTCCAAAATACTACACAAATAGTTAGAAAGTGGAAAACCAAAAAGGTACTGTAAGAACTTAAGTCATAAAATCAATCCAAAAAAAGACAATTAATAGAAAGAAGCATACTTTCCCCATTCAGGCGGAGGATTCCATGCTGACAGCAGCATATCTGACTTGGCATTGGGCAGGCAGTTCCTCACGACAAAGTATTTTGTTGTGAACCGAGCAACACCTACATCCTTATAATCTCTGTCAAAATCATATATCTGCACCAAGAAATCACATCATTGAGCTTTCTGCTGACCTCAGAGAAACTTGCAGAATCAAAATTCATACACATCCACTATTGTAAGTGAAAAGGTCAACAGTGGCCGAGACCAATGTGGAGGTAACAAGAAAGAATAGGCTACGGATCTGAAGATTGCAACTATAGGCACTGATATTGAGCCAAACATTAAGAAATTCTTTGACAACAAGTTATGAAACAGATACAGCTGCTTAATCTCACTTGAGAAAAAAGTCGTCCTCTAAAACAATAAAACAGGAAGGTAACATACATTTTGTCTAAAACAGCATACAAAAAAGGGGAAAAAACCTCAAAAGTTAATATCAAAGCATTCCACTATGCAGGAAAACACAAACTAAAAGCAGAATATGCCGGCTCTAAAATAACAGAACAGAAGAATAATCAAGTTCGAAGTTGATGGTTTCATGTGATAAATAAATGCATGCAAAATGGATAAGTCGTGATGCTAAAGAAGCACTAAAATCAAACAATCAAGCAATTTTAAAAACCATACTTTGAAAGTAGATCTCTCATAAATATAAGAATCCTCCTGACACGCATTCAAAACCACCAAAGCGTGCATATCGATAAATGCATGTGTAAAAATCTAATTGCAGCTGCAACTATAAGTTCGCATAAACCCTCATAATCACTTCAACTCTTTCTTTGCATCCGTTATATCATAACTTACATATTCTACAACCAGAAAGGTGAACAAAGCTGGCAAAATAAAATCACATTGAAGTTTCAGTTGCCTCAAAACATTCCAAAACCTCCTCGACCCAAATTATAAAAGAAAATCAAATTAATGGCCCTAAAAATTACCATATCTCATTCCCGCTCAAGGGAGCAGACGTCACATGTAGTTGCTAGGGATGACAGACGTTAGACTTAAGAAAAATTCAAATGAATTAGCGGGCTTAGAGGGGTAACAACATCTAATATACAGTCTATGTTGTAACCAAGAAACAACTATCCGAGATAAGTTCTAGCACATCAAAGAGGAAAGTACTCATCTATGAGCTTAAAAAAAAAAAAAAACAAAAAAAAAAAGATTCTAGAGCCTCACCATGTCATTTATTTCAGCTTCTGCAAAAGATTTGCCATCAACAAGCATGCTCCAGACAACTTTAGTAATTTGTAGTGAGATGCGCATGGCACAAGATGGACTTTTGTTCTTCTCTTTTTCCATGAGGCGTAGCTGTGCAGCCTTTTGCAGAGCCATTCTAAGAGAGGCTGAGGCAGCCTTTCTAGATTTTTGCGCATTCACAAGTTCTCTCTTGAGTCTCTGCACCTATAAAACAGAAGTTCATTTTGTTTACAATTCATATGTCAAAAGAAACCACATTCATGCTTTACATGGGTGCAGATATTGCAAAAATTTGATTCAAAGCAACAATGCAGACTTATAACAGTCAGACTCTGGAGAGGAAGGCTCAAAGAACAGCAGTCAAACTAAAGGCTACAAAATATTGGCATATTCTTACAAGTAACTTATGCGAAGTTGTATTCCTCGGAAGACATAAATCAAAGATGTCTGCACCCAGAGACAAGAAGAGTATTGCTACTAAGCCATGACATAATTAACATACAAGATATTTGTCACTACATTAATCATCAGAAGAAACCAACAAGATGAGCCTGCAAGGAGAACTCAGTTCGTTTAGAATAGTAAGAAAGCTATAGTTATTAGTGTTGCGACCACATATATCTCATATGGAGAGGACAGAGGGAATCAAAAGAAGAAAACTGCTTACTCAATTATTCATACAAGAGGAGCAAATATAATGCCTTCAACAAATCAAAAGGATTAAATCATATTGGTCAATCATTTTGGAATCCACATGAGCAAACTAAAAGAGTTAAAAGCATTTAAACTTTATAACTACCAACCAAAGATCGAGACCATTGCATCCATCATGCCCAAAGTTGGTAACTGAAAAAACAACAGAAAGTTGAAAACTCACTAGAATGGTCCTTCCACCAACTATCATCCATAATTCATCTTCCTTTCCAATATTTGCATCTCCAGAAGCATCATTTAGAAGAGAGAGTTTCCTAATGTCATCCAGGATTATTTTCTGCATACGATCCTTTTGTTCAAGTTCAATTCTTGCCAGCTCTACCTCTTCCACACCATCAGGAACCACTTCATCTGCTTCCTCTTCAATATCATCATCCTCCGTGGGATATGAAAGGCTGCTTTTTCGAGGTCTGTACAAAATATCACCATCAAATCACTTAGAAAATAAATGGAAATCATCCTTGCTTTGTATTTATCATTGATCACAAGAAAATTAGAAAATACTCTTACTTGGGAAGCCTAGCAAAGAGCAGATTAGTCAACACATCAAGCATAATCTGGAATTGTCGAGATGTCATGGTTGCGGTGATGTTCTGTGAGTTAAATATGAGCTCCTTCAAGGGCTTCACCTGCAGCAAAGAATTACAAATAACTTTGACAATTCGAAAAACGGAACGAAACAACTACATTGTGAAGCCTCATCTGAGCAAGTGTTGGTACGTACTATGCTGGAAAAGATAATCAAAACTAAAACTATAAGCAATACCTTCAGATCTGTAGTTCCTCCTTTGTGCCTTGTATATTGAAAATACATGTTACAAGGCATAAAAACCCTTTCAAGCAACGCTCCAGTTCGCTTCACCTTAGGTGAGCTCCGGCGAATTTTCGGAAGCCATTGCAATCCAGCCCCAGGATCAACATCAGTTGGAGCAACATGAGCTTGCACATTCTCTAACATCACAGAGAACTCCATACGATTCCAAGTCAATTCAGGTTGAGATTCGGGAATCTGAACGTTTCCTCCTCCAAGTGCTTGTTCAATCATGTCCAAGCCAATCTGCAGGACTGAATGAAATGAACGAGCTAGAACACGTCCACTAAGAGCAGCCAGAAGAAATCTACCCTGTCAAATGGAAGGACAAAAGGAGCAAGTTATATCCAAGCTACAGAAAATTCAGAAAATTCGGTTTAATATGTCCAGGAATTGTAATATATGCAGAAATGATTGTTAACCTTGGTGCCATGAAATGCATCTTAAGTGAAACAAGACTTTCCAAATACTTACGTTGGCTTCTTCTGAATGAAGGTTGAACTGTGGTTCAATGACATTAACCATGAAATGACGGGTCCCCTCCCCCTCAGAATCTTCAGAAGGCGGCTTCACTATTAGTAGCACAAAAAAAAAAGCCAAACTAGGTCAGTGTCATAAAAGTATCTATATATCTGCAATTTGACAACCGAAAGCAAATATATCAAGGACTCGTGCACAAAGCCAAAAACTAAGAATCTTGACGAGTGGCATACAAAACCGTTTTTTACCAATGATGGAATCCTCTTCAAGGAACCAGTCTAAAACTAGATAATGCAGTATGTGGCATATGCAGCAAAGATATACTTAAATTAGATTCTCTCCAAGTCAGGTAGATATAATGACCCAGAAATCTACAAAGGCTCCAACGAGCAAAAGACCTTACCAATTGCACCAGAAAGAGAATTCTCCACTGGGAAATTATTTGATGGAGGTGATTGGGATTTTGATGACTCCATATTCTGTGGCGAAGAACTTCCAACAGGACTCACAGACGCAGACTTGCTTTTATCATCTTCATTTATTTCAGATTTGTCAGGTGCCTGATTCTCCTCAAGAAGCTTTCTTTGGGCATACAATCGAGAAGGAGATGGTTTTGGAGATTCAAATGCCTTAGATATTCCACCTACCCAGGACCAAACAGCATCTCTGTTCTCTAGAGTCCACAAAAGCTTAAGACCATAAACAAAAACACGCTGACAATTGTCAGCAATAACAACATTATACCCATCATCATCACTTGGATCAGATCTTGTATGCTCATCGCTTTCGCTCCCATTTTCAAACTCAGACCTGACATATGTCAACTCAAGATTTCTCCGACCAGATTCTTGCCAAGTTAATAACCTAACCGGGTCAGCTTTGGGTGCTTGCCTTCTGATTGTGAAGTAATCAGACGATAAAAGAAATCCATCATCACGGTGCCTCTCCGTAATACCACTCAAAACACTGCTCTTATCATTTGCAAGTCTGTCCACTGATGCAGACTGTGAACTTTTCCTAGATAATTCAACTGCTTTTGAAACACTCAAACACTCTTCCTTGTTTATATATACCTTTGGCATGTGAAGGTCCAGACCTTGATACACAAGATCAAGAGTATCACGTTTGCTATCAAAAGTATACTTTTGTTTACCCCTACTAAAGCAGAGTTCATATTTCAACTTGTTCATCTTAAAGTTCAGCCCCTTTGCAGGATCGTCATCGTCTAAAGGCATATGTCTTATACATGTAGGAGCTGCATCAACCCGGAACATGAATTCTGTCATTACCTTGTCCATTGACAGGTTACCGGATCTAGGAATTCTAGGGACTCCAAAACGAGGCCATCTTGAAAACATACGCAGTTTATGAGGAGGAAGGTAATTCAAATTCCAAAACTTTATTAGCCAGGCCAAGTCATGAGGTCCAAGATTGACAGTGGGGGAATCTGTCGAGGCATTTGTCGATGCAAACGGGCCATAGGAAGCTCCATCAAGGAGAAGATGATCACCTTTTGTAGCTGAGGTTTCTGACCCATTATCAGAAGAGGGAACAGAGGGCCTAAGTGATAGATTCCAGCGCAAGGATAGATTTGTAGACCGAAAGGGATCATAAACTTTTTCACGAGGTACACCCTCAACAGGAAGCGCAAATAAATAATGATTCAGTGGGTTTCCTGATTCACAATCCCACTCCATTATGACTTCAATACTAAAAGTGGGTGCTTCCAGAAAAGGCCCTGAAAAGCTGATAGGTTTTAAGCTGGAGTTTTTCAGCAAATTCTCCAAGCTGCTCACTAAAATCTTGAAATTCTTAGCAGTGATATAAACACGGCCATCTGATTGCTGGATCTCCATATAACCCGAAAAAATCTGAAGCTTGTCAGAGTTTTCATAGGGATCTGTAGTTGCAAGTACATTCCACTTTGTCTCAGACAAGTACAGAGTAGTATGCCCGTGGATATAGTTTCTCATTTCATCCCACCAAGGCAGACTTTTTTCCTTTTTGGGAGGTTGGACATCTGGGTTGGGGTTTCTAAGGCTTAAATTGGCCCTACGTAGTGCAACAGTAAAAGCATAGCTGACATCAGCAAAAACAGGTTCAAAACCAACGCCAAAGGAAATTTCAGCTTTCTGGAAATGAATTGGCAGGTCACAGTATGTCTTCACGGGTGGTGTTGTACCACTGGCTGAACGAAGCATGCAAACTTTCCTCCATCTCCCAACAAAGACATTTTGACGAATTTGAGGTTGAAAACATGTGGCCTGCGAGCAAACAAATAGCATTGAAGCAGTAAAGATGGAATACACAGCCAAGAATAGCTGGAAACTAGGTTTCGGGTAACAGAAGAACAATAAAAATAAATGATTTGGATTTTATTTAACCAAAAAAAAAAAAAAAGCATCAAGACTAATAAGCAAAAATGTAACACAGAGACAAAATGCAAACTTCTCCAGCTCATGAAAACTTAAATATCTGAAAGTCCTAAACATAGCAGAAAACAAAGCTAATATGGAACTTGCCAGGATCTGCTAAATTTCCCAGAAACAACTATAAGTATTGATCCCACTATGTCGGGCTATAAGGATCATCTGCCATCATCATGCACTGTAACTGTCCTAAGAAAATACATATGTTCTAAGTCTGTAGTAATTCTCATAAGAAAAAAATAATGCGGTAGATGCAGATAGTCAAATAGATAATTACATATCTCAAAAGGCACTTAGGAAGTTAGAAGAGTTTTCATTTTTCCAATGGCAAGATGAAAAAACTGTGAAGTCAGGTGAATAACAATAGACCTGTAAATTTATTGGTTGGCAGAATCTGTTCTACCAACTCTGAACCAGGTATATAAGAGAGAGAGAGAGAGAGAGAGAGAGAGAGAGAGAGAGAATGGACAAGCAGAAGTAAAACATACCTGCTGAGCTAACACAAGACGACCCTCACATCTACCAGAAGTTCCAGCGAATAATGGACAAGTGTAATTTCTTAGTTGAGCAACAAGAGAACCAGTTTGCAGCAAGATATTGCTCCCATAGAGACGAGAGAATGGAATGTTGTGTGCACGACAGACTGGATCAAGTTTCTGCAGAACTTCTATCATTCCAGCATCACCACCATCAATTCTCGTCAGGCTTAAATCCAACTCAGTGGCCACGATCGCTAGCACAGAGCTTCTGGTAGTGCTAAACTTGAAGCCCGCTTGAAAACCCTCCTTACAGGCCCCAGATCCAGGTGATGGCACCAGTTTCTGACAAGCCTGATAATACGAACGGAAAGACTGTTTATAAACCTTGTCTCGTAACTTCTGGATAGATTCAGGATCTTGAACATCTATCTCCTCTCCCTCACAAAGAATCTTGCTCTCGTGAACAGAATCATTTTTATCGTTAGCTCCAGCACTTTGACCAGCTTTCAGGCTCAGATCATCAAGGAACTTTAACCTCACAGCTAATTCACAGGCCTCATTTTTTAAAAGTTGATAATGTTCATCGAGCCAACCCTGTAAGGGCTCTTCCTCGATATCAGCTGTTAGTTTACGAATACAGAACCTAACCCGCCCAATTTTGGCTGAACTGGCCTTTTTTGTCTTTGGGCCCTCTTTTTTTACTGGAAACAGCATCTTAGCTTTAGCAGCAGTAATGAGCTTCAACGCTCGCAGCATTTCTTCAACGGAATCATCAATTGCTCGCAATTGCAACCGGTATGGCATGCACACATGAACATCAAGGGCTTGAATTACCCAGTCCCACGCAGTACATGTCTCCATATTCCCATTTGATGCATTGCTAGAGGTATTTGGCACACGAGAAACTTGCATCCTGCTACTTTTAAATACTCTAGCTTCATTGAAATCGAGAATTAGTCCTTCGAGAAGCACACCTATTCTAGCATTCTCAGAAAAGATCGACTGGACCTGGACAGTGGTTTCGACTCCATCACCAGCCTCGGCAGATATGCGCAGCATTTCCACATCGATGGCAAAAATGGATTCTTTTTTCTTTGGCTTTTCACTTTGTAAAGCATCCACAGGTATTTCTTTCTTCTCATCAATGTTCAGGTTAGAAACATTATCCTTGCTTTCTTGTACTTGACGCTTATGATTGTGGACCAGTAACTTCAACTGCAATCCAAGCTCAGCTAACGCAATATGCGGATCTGGCTCCCATCTAACTGATATATCAGTAGCACTGAAGAGAGAGCAGACAGCAATCTCTTTAAGACCACCTGATCGCCTGACAAATTTGGCATTTTGCATGTCAAGCAACACAATATTTGTTCTAGGGATGCTCTCTTCTAAAAACTCCTGATAGATGGATCTGGCTCTTTCAAGCTCCATTTGTGCCGATTGTTTCTCCTTATTCAAGGAAAAACCTAAATGGAATATGTCAAGCGAAACAGAATACTTCAAATTGTTGACCTCATCTGAAATGGTAGACATGACATCTGCTGTGCGAGGTGTACCATCAGATGAGACACTAATTACGAATCGGCCACCCTGTGATCCATAATTAACACGTTTGGGATCTTCAACAACTGCATTCTCCAATCCTACTTCTCCACGAAAATTTAGAGAACATCTTTCAAGATTAAATTTTACCAGTTGAATCCCTTTCCCTGATGATTTGAATGACTTCACACCCTTGACATGAGCTGGCTTTTTACTGGAGCCAGATGATTTTTTGAGCAGAGATTGGAAGCTAAAAGCAGTTGACACTAAGGATTCAAGCCGCCTAAAGGTCAAGTATACACCCATACCAGTTACGTCAGAAGAGAGAACCATTTTACAGTTGCGCCCATCTTCAGGTGAATCCATATCCTTTTTGCCCCAGTCCAACCCAACCTTGGCTATGTGCAATAGGGAGCCAGCATTTACTTCCACTCCAAAAAGGCTTTCCTTCAAGGATTCATGGTATTCATCAGACAGATGCAAATTAAGCTCACCAAGTTCCATATGAACAGCAGTGCCTGTACTTGATATGTTGTTAGCAAAGATGTGAGATGATTGAGAGCAAGCCTGCATCACCAAGTAAAATGATCCCATCTCGTTCAGAAAAAGAGTTTGAAAAATTCACAAGCATTATTGCTAAACTATTTTATATAAGAACATTTTGTAACTGCTGCAATCACAACATTGAAACAACTAGGGAAAGTAAAAACTGACAAATTCAACAACTACCCCTAGTTGTCTTGGTCATGAGACAAACTTACATAGATCATTTCCATACCAGGATCATAATATCATAAAGAAATCAGGAAACCTTGAAACCACTCCCCACCAAAAACACACATGGCAAACCACAAAGGCATCTCCATTCAGAGAATTCCTGACAATATTATCCAAGAATCATAAAACGTAAATCTCTAACAAAATCCAGTTCTTAAAATATCTACATTGAACATGGTGACTCCTTCCGTATCATACTTGATTCCAATTTTTATCTACTTTTCGGTCAACCATACTCTTTAAATTGCAGTTAATTTCAGAAGTAACATAGAAAAAAAATCGGCCACACAGAGAAAATTCTTACATGGTACAGTGGTAAGTCGCTCAAATTGTAAAGCACAATAGTCATTTCTGGGGCAGACATAGTGCAGGTCCACATAACAGCATTCTGCTCTGTTGAACGTGGTTTTTCAGGCATAGAACTTTCCTCTCGGAGCACCATTTTCTTTGGTTTTGAAGAATGTAGTTGCACCCATGGAACTAATCTACTGACTAACAAGTTGCATTGTGTACCTCCAAGCCTAATGTCGATTTCAGATCTAATAGGCGCAGAAGGCTGTAAAGTAAAGCATCCTAAACAAGTAAATCAAGTGACAACCAAAAAGAAAATCAAAATATAAGGCTTATCCATAAGATAGTGAAACAAGGAAGCCATAAATCAAGAAACAAGAATTTCTTCTCAGACCAGCAAGAAATTTTAAAACTACAGTTAAATGGCAACATTATGCACTATAAACAGAGATGCTTCAGCAAGCCCAGAATTCTAAAATTAAGTAGCAACCCCTCCACTAATGACAAATGCAATGGACATACTTTCTCCTCTGTGTATGTTGCAGAGAGCAGACACAGACTATTAAAATACAGACCTGTAGCTTATGTATAGCTTTTGAAGATATTATGTTGCTGTTTCTCTGCAACGAACATACTTTCTCCTCTGGGTCTGTTGCAGAGAGCAGACACAGAGCAGAAAATATGTTCATTGCAGAGAAACAGCAACATAATAGAAAAAATCCAGTTAAGACAAACAAACCTCACTAGTATTATTAACTTTTGGGGGTTAACTTTGGTAACTTTTGACAAAAGATGCTTTCATAAACAAAAACAAGACTTATTTTAGAACTTTACCTTTTCCCTCCAACGACACTTAATCAGAATGGAGGGAGTACAAAAGTACCTCGTCCAAAAAAAGGCAGTTAAAGGAAACAACAAAAAATAAATAAATTTAGCGGTAATTAGAACAGAAATCAAATGTTACATACTTTACAGACAGTAGAAATAAATTACAGCTCATCTCCTTCAATGATGCCCAATGGCATTAGGTAACTAGCTGACTCTGATAAGCAACTTGAAACTTAATGCAGAATCATACACAGAAAACGAGATGGCAAGTAATAGAGGAAAAGACAACAGCAATGATTTAAAGAGATGAGGGGACAGATTTAATGCTAAATATAATATTTACTCGGAAATATATAGAAACTGAAGCCGGAACACAATCAAAGCAAAGAAAAATAACAAAAGGAGAACAGAAGACCAAAGGCAATCGAGAGAACAATGCATTGTAAATATCTTAATCCAAAACCAATCATCGCACAGGAAGTGAAAAATACATAGCCTACATCCAGTTGTATCCTGTCAAACAGAAGTGGTTTCAACAAAAATTTACAAAATCTTGTTCTTTCTTGTGTCTGAACATATATGAACAAATCAGATAGATTTCCAACTCAACATAAAGTCAAAAGTTTAAGAGTTCATCAGCATATATCTGTATAATACCTGTAGGGGGATGTAAACCAAAGAAATAACATCAAGTTTTAATATCTCCACCATGGAAATTCCAGCGTCTCGAAAAAGCTACGATACATCAAGGAACGATCATTAGATGAAGGCCAAAAGAGCTTCCAAGAAACTACCATCGAAAAGAGGTTTTAGATGGTTTAACATTTCTACTCTTACATGGATCTCACTGAAGTCCAACTGAACATCAAGCCTTGTACTTTCACTGAGGTAATCAACAGATCGAGATTTTATGCTCTTCAGCTGAATGCCCATGATGTTGTTATCTATGGCAAGATCATGCCCCCTATGCAAGAACTTCACGTCCAATTTGGGTAATGTGAAGCCAATCTACAAATTAAATGATGCCCATTAATTAGGAAACAAAGACCAGATTAAATGGAGACAAATATGTGGACATTACTCATGGTATGCAAAGCAATAAGAAGTGCTACCTGATTTCTAATCATAAAAGTTGAGAGAGAGAGAGAGAGAGAGAGAGAGAGAGCCTAAATCTAACATTACAAATTTTTCAAGAAATAGATATATCTTTCACCACATCTCGGCGAATCGCATTACTTCTCAATAGAAGCATATAAATCCTACAGTCCCCTTCTTATAAAAATTTAAAAAAAAAAAAAAAAAAATTCCTCAGTCCCAAGTCATATTCAATATAGCAACCGCAAATGCTACCCAGAAAACTTGTAGGTCAAAATATGATTTGCAAACATAGCTAAGACCAAGTGGTTAATGACGATGGAACCATGCCATTATACATGAACTCCACAAGGGCCAAAAATTCAATTTGATAAACATGTTATGAAGGTAAGAGCCATACAAATTTTTTAAACAAAAACAAAACAAAACAAAACAATGCCAACTAATGAATTCCACCTTTTCGGGGAACATTGTCATGAATTTAGGAATTGCCAAAAGTGGTGACTTTTTCTCCAACTTTTTTATGGTGTTTGCTTCATTAGCCTCATTTAAAACTTGAACAGCTTGAGTATTTGTGTCACTTGAGCTTTTCTTCTTCACTAAAAGCTCTTCTGTCAGGAGAACAGAAACTTCTCCACTAGTTACATCTACATTCCTAACCACAATACCAGTGTCCCTGTAATAAGACAAGGGCGAAAAAGAAAAATTCAGCTCAAGTCAGCAAATATGGAAAAGAGACATATTTGAAGAAGGCAACAATCGAGTAGAGGCTGCTTAAGACTTCTTTTATATTTAGTTTCCTTCAAGTCTTAAAAAAATAAAAGAAAAGATGGCAATCAAATCTCCCTAAGACACAGGCTATAAAATGAACTAATCTCGACATGAAAGAACAAGAAGCAAAAAGGGAAAATTGTCTCATAACTTGAAAGAAAATCCACTAAAGCGGGTCAACTAATCATCAAAAGTACAATATCTTTGAGCACTGTCTATACATCAAACCCAGAATCTATGTCTACTTTTATTCTTTTTTCTGGGCCCACTAGAGCTTTATCTTAAGAGCAGCAAAATAAATTTCAGAGGCTGCCCCCGTTAGTTTCTGGTGGGTTTTGATGAAGAGTCTAGGGATGATACAGATACCAATATCTGCGGACGTGAAAGTAAAATAATCTAAGTTGTTCCTCTTTTTGGAAGCCAATCTTGCCTTGAATGTAGATATTTCGTATTCCTCTATTTATGTTACAGATAGTTCACATCTCAATTAAAACAAATGAAGGACCTTGCACAAATAAGTCACGCTGTTACCAAAAACCCAAAAAAAAATAAAAGAAAAGAAAAATTGCACTAGATAGCAAAGAGGTTATCTCCACTAAAATATTGCCCGTTAGCAATTTTTTATTGGCCAGTTTAGCTCCCCAAAAAAATGGGAATTTCTTGGGGATCATTTGCAATCAACTTCAGAAAAAAGAGAAAGAGGACAATAGCTTAGGCATGCATCAGAGCAATTCCTTTTCAACCTTTAAAAAAACCCAAAGCATATGACAAGCAGAAAAAGAGAAAAACATTATCAAAGGCAAGTTTTGAAGCTGTCTAAATAGATACAGAACCAACCTATTATGACCAATTTCGCACAAGAGTGAGAGATCTTCACAGTTGAAAGGGGCTAAGGTTTTCTCCATCAATTCCCCATGAACTGCTGATTGATCAAATGCAAGTCGTGATTCACCCAGGTAAACAGACAGGGGTACAAGATGAAGCTTCACAAACAGCGCTGGATGAGATCCACCATCCTTGGATATTTCCAGCCTTAATTCTTTCATTTCCACAGCAGCTTTCGGTGTCTAAAATAAATTTGAAAACGCTGTAAGTGAACATAATATTCCTACCATGTTGTAAATACATATTGAAACAGAAAATAAGAAATCATTTAAAAAGCAAATAGGAACAATTTTCTTTGATTGTCATCATTGCCAAGAATAAACTTCATTCCAACACATCTATTTTAATATTGACCATGTGACAGTTCATGTATAAAGAACAAGCTTCCACATTTAACAAGGAAATGACTAACAGCAGGATTCTTAATCATACTTAAAAGAGAAAAGAATCAGAACTCCTTTATTTCTTTTTATTTAAATCTAGATAAAAGATTCACAAAACATTATATGCTTCAATAGATAGAATGGAAATCTTCCCTCATTCTAGACACTACGATATGATTTTATAACTCATACATCTCAGTTTCAACCACTATTCTATGAATAAAGGACCCACTTCTGCACCTGACTACCATACAGTGTATATCCTTCATTTTCTTGAATGATAGTGCCAAACATTTGAAAACCTTGTGATTTATCTAACTCGCTCACCAGTTTTGATCTATTAGATACCAACCTGGCAATCCACATATTCAGTTTTAATTCTACTTATGGTATTACATTAAGATTCTAGTGTTACCCTCCAGGGCATTTACTTTATTACCCATCACATTGGTCTTAGCATTTTGTTTGCCGTCATCATCATATTAGAGGTTTACCATTCAGTCCCAACTCTCCATGCCTCAAGTGGGATATACCGGGACCTAGTTCCCTTTTAAATTAAACACCGAAAGAAAACAACTAATTATGTACTTAAAGGGAATGCTATCTCTACAATTAACATAATAAAACTAACTTTATATGTTCACCATAGATTAAGTGGAGTACTAGAACTATTCGAATTAATTTTGGAACAGTACTTTACAAATTAGCATTGTTGCATAATGACTATTATACAGAAAGGTCTTAACATTTAAATAAATATACAGGTAACTTTATAAAATGTGAAATGTAAAAATCTTTTCTGAATGGCTAATTGCAAACTTATTGCGCATAGGTTACAATAGATCCTAATCAATCAGAGAGGATCTTAGTCATAGAAATGCTCATGGTAAGTAATAGATATTTCTTACTGCTCTCCTCTAGAATTATAGGAAGAACCGCTAATGGTTTGGCAATCCCAAATCAAGCATAGTTCAATACAATATATTTCAGTTTTCAGAAACTAAAAGAATTTGAAACATTCCTACTTTCTCTATCCTGATGAGACAAAAGCAAGATATAGCATGTAAAGCTCGAAGCTTAAATCATACCTTTACAGCCAGTTCAGTCACAGAAACTGACAAAAATCTTGCCATATTAGCCACAACCATCCACTTTCCTCTACCTGAAGCCCGGGATTTTCGAGACTTTTTCTTAGCAGCACTTTTGCTTGAAGAAGCACTTTTGCTTGAGGTTCTTATCACAACTTCTAAATCAGATATTAGCACCTGCAACTTCGGATCCCTAGAAAAAATACCAACTCCAAGTTTGACCAAGGATTGCCTCAAGCTGAGTCTAATTTCACCCACAGATACAGATTCTACCGCCCCCTGTTCAAAAAATATCATAGGGAAAAGGGAATCACTCCACATTCTTACAAAAAATTTATTTGGGGTTGAGGGGGGGAGGTCGGGGTCCTTTGGGACAAAATAAAACTCAGGAAGGGTTTTATGTGCATATATTCGAACTTCTAGAATTGAAAGTTCAATGCTAGAGAAGCTTGTGAAACACGAACGACGTCAAGAAAAATTCCGAGAACAATTGTGTTATCCCATATCCCACAATTACATTGACACAGATCATTACATAAGAAAAAAAGAGGCTTGAGAGCACCAAAAGGGTAGAGTATTTTTCCCACGATTAAGCAGTCAAGAGAGATTAAATAAGGTAATGCATCTACAGCCAACCCCCCGGTTCCCGTTTCATTTGTTAGGCATCACAAAAGATTTAGATGATCTAAAAGTAAAATAAATAGAACCGAATTTTTAAAACCTGATGTCATGAAGAATGTTGAAGATGTAAAGTTTACTGTGAAAGAACTTTTAGCATTCAAAGGCTAGCAATGCCTAAAGGACGAATTGCTTGGACGCACAAGATATTAGAAAAAGCCAGGGCACGTCATTCTGTACCACATTGATAGTTTGCAGACCTTAACTCTAATTGATGCGCAAAACCACAGCCAAGCACGGAAACATTTTATTGATGAACTTTATTAGATTGATGTATTTGCTAGATCAAAGGTCAAAAAAAATACATGATCTAAAGTACTGTTTTTTGAGTGAAAAATTCCCTAAATTATAATTTTTTTGGGATTTTCCATAATTCCAAAAGAATCGAAATCACAACGACAACAAAACTTTGCATGCATGTGTTATAGAAATGCACAGCTACTTTTGCTTTCTTAAATACGAAAGAAGAGAAAATAACCTTTTTGAACTTCACATTGATATCTTTCAAACATTTCCATCCACCGACACGAAATTGAACAGATGCTCCCAACACTCGGCTTAGAAACCAAGCCAATAACCTGGACGCAAATCTGAAAGAGGAAACAGGATCAGCAATCTACAATCAAGTCGCATTCAATCTATTGAGACATCCACATACACCAGCCATTGGCACACATTCATCCCAGTAAGGACCTTGATTTTGCTCCTTTAAAAGATAAAAATCCCTCCCCCCATATAGAGCGCCAAGAACAATGAAAATGAGTTTGCTATACTAAGATGAAAAAAAGACGCAGATGACAGGAAAACACCGAACTTGAAAGTATGGTAACAATTGTATTTTGCTTCACAGATCTCATAAGGAAGAATGGTAATAATGTTTTAATCAGCCAAGATGAACGACCCTTCCAGCTACTAAACATGGTGCAGTAATTGTACAGAATAAGGAAAATGTTGCTTAATCAGCCAAGATGAAAGGCCCTTCCAGCTACTAAACATAGTGCAGCAATTGTACAGAATAAGGAAAATATCAGCAGCAGTACAGCTAGGTGGACATTCTTCAGTGAAACCCAATATCTCCAAGATCCCAGTTCTTATCTAGCCACCAAAAGATAATAATCTTTACTATTAAGTCAGGGCGTGCTAATAAAAAATGAACTGCTTCATCCGGAGAAATTTCAAATGAAACAAGACACTTGCTGGGGATAAAAATCAGTGCCTCCATCTAACCTGGACCACTCAAATTCAGTATTATCCAATTAATTTATGCACAGAGTACCATCTTATGATGGAAAAGTAATGCAGAAACAGCGATATTAAGGAATTTTGGCATAGGTGAAACTTATTCAAATTACTTCAAGTCGTATCTACAAGATGAGATAGTTTGTAAACAAAATGGAGGGACATAAACAGTAACTTAAAAAAAAAAAGAACCCCACTAATTGCGGGATTATCTTACATTCAGATCAAGTGAGTTTTTGGAAAAGTTTAGCCTGCAGGCCCTTCAGGTTGTAGCCTAGCCTTGCCTTCTAGCAAATTCAAGGATATGTGAAGAACTAATTCTACAGAACACTAGCTACCCAATTCTATACTCTAGACATCTCAGATAAAAATGTAAACTAGGAATCTTCATAGGTGCACAGTAGACTCAGCACCATCAGGAATAAGTCCCTATTAAGTACAAAGACACTACTTTTCATCTTGAAAATTGAATCCCTTGAGAAGGGAAAAAAAAGAAAAAAAAAAAAAAAAAAAAAGGAGCACAGCCTAACAAGTTACTCAGCAACTTAGGATTCCTCAACTGAAACAAATTCTTGTGAAGACTTCTAACTAAACATTACATTATCTCGTCGCCATCAGAAGTCAATTAGTTAAGACAAAGTCTACTCGAGGAGAGGTGATGCCAATGACTTAACAGTGGGCTAAAATCTCAGAACTGGCAGAATAAATTTTCTATATCAAGGAATACTCCCTAAACGAAAGAATAATAACACTTGTACAGTAAAAGATATAATAGAACACCAAGGGACTACAGTTACTTTCTTATTAATATGATGATCAATTTAGTCAAAACAAAGTATGCAAAGATAACACCTGTAGCTACCAAAGATCAGAATCAAAGAATTACAGCAAGGAGAAAATCACACATTGTACAAAGTGAATTGTCTAGGCACGATCCAGCAATAAAATAAGTGTATCAGTAGAAAATTACGCACAGCACTACAACCTAGATTACGAATTTCACAATTCTGAAGCGCCGGCGAACACTCACGAAGTACCGTAATCGCAAAAGAAATTATCAACGATGCGTGATTGAAAACGACTTACGTGAAAATAAGCCATAGTATGACGGACACAAAGAGGAATCCGAACAGGAATTTCGCCGGCGAGGCGCCCATTGTTACCGGTAAACGCTTCGATCTTTGGGATTTCCGGTCTTAAAGATGCTACGCAACGATTGCCATTGTCAACAACATATCCTCGCATGTCTTCTTCATGTGGAGAGATTCAAAACCCCTAACTAGCAGCAAAATTCACCGAATTTGAAACCAGAAGTTCCATCCAGAACGAAGATCAACAACTCCATGGTTGAATTAGAATTAGAATTAGAATTGGAATTAAAATTGAAATAAATTAAATGATGGAAAGAAAAAAAGAATTGTGAGAATAGAGTGAAAATAGGAAACAGTAATAAAGAATGAGAGTACGATCCGAGATGTAAGTACTCTGTTTTAATTGTACAGTGAGAGAGAGAAGTAAGACGTGCGAGAAAATCACACGCACTAACGGTGAGAGAGAAAGGAAAAAAAACCTGTGTGACTACTGCGTTTAGCGGGGAGGTAGGGCAGATCGGGTGCGGGAAGGTGTAGGAGGGAAGCGGTGGAGAGTTTTGGACAACGTGCATGACATGTCTTTGTTTACTGTTGTGATTTAATGGCGAACCTGTTCTTTCCTTCCTGAGAAAACTCCACTTCTTTTTTCTGCCTTTTTTCCATTTTCTTTAATTAATGCCCTAAATTTCAGTTTTTTAAATAATTACAAGTAAATTATTTCCATTATGATGTTTTTGCTTATTGTATCGTGGTTATTTTCCGATGGCAGTTTGATGTGAGATACATTGACCACCTTTTCCTCCGTTACTTGACATGTTTGTAACTTTTTTCTATTACTTGAAACTTCGGTCATCATTAATCTTTGGAGAACTTTGATTATACAAATGTAAAAATTAAATATTTCCTTTATCTCTAAATTATTGTCTACAATATACTAAAAATAAAAAATCAAACTGAATAATAATTTTGAGACAAAAAAAATATAATTTTTTATGGACGTGAACACTACTTGATAGATATTTGAAGAATTGTCTCGTTGTTTACATCTACGTATTATGACCTATGGTGAAGTTAGAATTGATCTTAATATATTAACAGAATTGATTTTTGGGAGAAAATGAGTAATGTGGTTTGATTGAAAAAAAATTACATAAACACGTGTTTTTATTGTAAAGCACAATAGTAATTTTTTAATTTTCTGTTGAGTATAAAGATATAATGTTTCTGTTTTCTATGTTCTAGAATTTAAAACATACAATTCATAATTAATTAATTTTTAATTCTGAATCTACTAAAAATTTAATCCCAATCTAGATTTTGACGTGAAGATTGAATATTACTCAAAGATATACGGGATCTTAAATTTGATGGTAAGAAAAGGAAGTAAATTTAAGGGAAGTGTATGAAGTTGTAGTCATATATGAATTACGCGAGTAGCTACGGCGTCATGTATGAATTCTGTTGTGTATATGCAATCTTGCACAAACTAGAGTGATATTTTTCGTTAGCGTTCGATCAATTCAGTCCCCTTTTTTGAAGTATTTGTGTCAAATTTCGAAACCAATAGATGAAGTGATTAAAGCTAAAAAGGAGTGATGTTAAACAGTGAAGGGCTTGAAGCAATTTAATGGATGGCGCATAAAACTCAAGAGTAAGAGTCGGGATATATGAAAGCTGGAAGCTACATAAACAAGCCGAACGACACCAAAAAGATCTACTCATCTTTCGCCACAAATTATAGCCTCTCTTGAATTTTTTTTCTTTACGTTCTTAATGTTTCTCTCTATTTTGCTCTTATTATTGATAAATTTAAGGATTTGATTCCATTATTTCTCTATTCTTGCTCTTTGAAGGTTCATTCCACACGTTTTCATGAAGTACAAGGGTCATAATACAATTAGGTAATGATCCTCCTTTCCTATTACAATTTAATTTCCTAGTCGACTTAATGATAATTTCTTACACTATTATTGTTAATTATATGCATCGGGATTGATTGTTTCGCTCTATCAGTTTGATCTTTGTTGATTTACTTATTCTCGAAAGTTTAAGTTTTTTATCACTAATGGCTTTTGGCAAACTACTAGTGTATATATATAAAAAGTAGGTTTCTCATTCCTCATGTGTAGAATATAGTTCTACTCCCCTTAGTCAGTTTCAATTCTACACTTCTGGCATCTCTCCTCCCAATTAATTGAACAATCAATCCTTCCCCAAACAATTATTAATTTCAGGTGTAAATCTTTTGGTATCACTCCTCCAAATTAATCCAATAGTGAATCCAATAATTTGTTGTTATCCTCCTACCAATTAACTCTCAGTTTCAATAGTACTATATTGTTATTTAACGAGAAACCTCCTTTCTTCCCACTAACAATTGTTAATTCCACTCTCGAAAAGATTTTCTAGCACACGACACCTCCTCAATTGGGACGATTGAGAAGTTTTGAGAAGGTTTTGTTTCCAATTCGACTATTTGTAGTTATTTTTAGCAACCAAAAGACAAAAGAAAAATCAAGCGAAGCAATTGATCTTTGTGACAGGTATGATTGTTATTCCTTCTGTCCACCTACTTAAAATATACGAAATATGTTTTACTTTGATTTTTTGGTGTATAGGTTATTTTGGTCAATGAAAAAAGATTGAGTATTGAATTAGACTTGATAGTACTGTTGATATGTGTAGCAATAAGGATTGATCCGTCACCCAAAAATGTTACAATATTCCAATTCTATGTAACCCGAGACATGTGCAATTTAATCTGTGTACCTATTTCAAGTGAATATGTGTTATTGGCTTCTGTTCATTTCGACTTTGAAGTTATTTCTTGAAGGCCCATATAAGCACACATATGATTTTATCTCAACACCAATTAGTTATGAGGGGAGTAGCAATGGGGTATATATGTTGGTTAAGTTGGGATACCATTTCCAATGTGGGATAAATGTCTTTCGCTTGGTTTCAAGTTCAGAGAGAATTTTAACACCCCTCTCTCAAACCCAATGAGGTTGGACACTACCCCTTTTAACAACCAAAGCCCAATACGAGTATCTAAATCAAAGTTCTTGGATATATAGACGTATCAATCAAAGCCCAATTCAAGTTTAAGTCAAAGGCTCAATATGGGTTAATCTAACCGGAGAAACCGCTGAATCAGTCAAAGTCCGCTGATTAAAACCCACCCTAATACCATCTTGAAAGCTCCTATAAGCTCACATGTGAGTTTACCTCAAAACCAATTGGCTATGAGGGGAATAGTGCTGTAGTTAGCGGAAGCCTCCAGATCTAACGATCAAATCTAAATGAATTAGAAGTAACTAGAACCGTTGAAAGCCATTGATTTGACGCACGAATACATAGCAATTAACTTCATCAAGATTTTAGTCTTCGAATACCTGGAATCCTAAGGCATCTAACTATCCGTTGATTCAATTAAAGAAAATCGGAAAATAGGCATAAAAAAACTAAGTTTTGGAAGAGATAATGCTCTCAATTTCGTTAAAATATCAACAACTAAATTACAACGTAGACGGCGAGAGCCTTTAAATAGGAAACACGGATAAAAATGAACCCTAATGGACTAATATAAAACTACCAAAATGTCTCTAATTAATTATGAAACGATAACAAATAAAAATCTATTCCTATTTTATGCCTACACCATTCTCCCTGTTTGAGAAAAAACTCGTCCTCGAGTTTTGATTTAGTATATTTGCTACGATCAAATGGAAATTGGGTTAAGTTACTCCATTGCTTGAGTCGTCGAGATCTCCAAGTGAAGTGGTATGAGGCCACTGTAATCCCAAGAGTGTACGCAAGAATGGATCTCGAAGGACATACATGTCTATGATTGAGTAACAATAATTAACCAGAGATTACACATTTACGTTGCTTGTTGCAGGATCGCAACAACCCACTAAAAGAAATCATCATGATATCCCAAATAACCATTAGCAAGTTCAAAGCATCCTTAGCTACGAGGTGCAGTACCATAGTTGAACCATTTTTTACTGCAAAAATCCTTCTGTAGCAAAATGACCCCTCTCGATGGTGGATGAAAATAGAAACAAAAGGTTTAATGTGAATCATGCGTGTGGATTCGCCATGTAGAAAATACCCATAATTAAATCCCAAACCAAGTGAAATGACCCCAAGTTTGACCTCATGAGTATCATCGAATGATGAGACTTCCAAATGAAATTCCTCTCTTTGATGCATAAAAGATGTTCTGACTTTGTGAAATGGAAAAAATTCAGAAATGTTAAATGAAGGCGCTAAGCTTGCTGGCGGTACTTGTGCAACATGGCCTGGTCCTTCTTCATAAACATCACGAAGTGCTTAGTAGGAACAAAGCTCAAGAACATCAATGTCTTCCTTGTCTCTAAGTGAAGAAGAATCAATTATGGGCGACGCTTCTTCATCCTCCTCATTCGTGTAAGCATCAAACCTCAGTGGTAAACTCCAGTCAATATAATTATTCACCCAAGGATCTCGGTCGAATTCAGGAGAAAAAGCCTCTACGGACAGTCTCCCAAAATCCACAACCTGCTTCAGCCAAACTGATTTAGTCTATAAATCATATTAATATTCAGTCAACCAAAAAAAGCAAAAAAATAAATCCAAACCCGTTGATGAATTGCAAGGTAGGATTGTTTGTCTCTGATTCCAACTCACATAGTGGAAGTCTCTAATTCGATCCAAAAGTAACCCTAACATGAACCATAACCGTCATAGATCCGTTTAGCTCTGATACTAACTGATGTAGTTAGCAGAAGTCTCCAGATCTAACGATCAAGTCTAAATGAATTAGAAGTAACCGGAACCGTTAAAAAGTCAGTGATTCAACGCACGAACACCTAGCAATTAACTTTATCCAGAACCGTTTAGTCTTCGAATACCTGGAATCCTAAGGCATCTAACTATCCATTGATTCAATTTAAGAATACCAGAAAGTAGGCATCAAAACACTAAGTTTTGGAAGAGAGAATACTCTCAATTTCATAAAAATATCAACAACAAAATTACAATGTAGACGGCGAGAGCCTTTAAATAGAAAACACATATAAAAACAAACCCTAATGGACTAATCTAAAACTACCAAAATGTCACTAATTAATTATGAAATGATAACAAATAAAACCTAAACTAATCCTATTTTATGCCTACACCAAATAGCACATGGAGTATATATCTTGATCAAGTTAAATTACCATTTCAAATGTTGGACAAATGTCTTTCACTTGTTATCAAGTTCAAAGAGGATTTGACAATGTTTTCCGTTGTTGTAAAGATGTTATCCACTTTCCAGGGCCCCTTTTTTCTTAGTACATAACCAGACTACCTTATGCATATTTTTGGAATAGAACCTTGGTAATTTCCTGCAGTTGGGACTGATATCTTTTTGGAACTTAGATCATTTAAATAATCATCTCTTACATGTATCTTGGATTTGTCACCTTCTGTTTTGTATGCTAGTCTC